AAAAGGCACCCTTAATATCAAAAAATAAATAAATGTTTTATAAACACAAAAGAGCAGACTTCAAACAATAAATTCATTTTCAGTATATAAGTAGAGCCCCCACCCCACCCCTGACCCTGGAGCTTTGAAATTCACAATTCTGCAAGATTAGGGCCCTTGCTAAAATAACTATAAAGGTAGTTCATCTGCTTTATTCAGAGACTAAAGAAAAAAAATTTCAAAGATTTAATGTATTTTCATTAATATATAATCAATTGAGCCCCGCCCTAGCACCAGAACCCCTGACCCTGGGGCCATAAAATTTATAATTTTAAAAAATATATAACTATGTACTTAGTTTATTTAATTCCTAGGAGCAGAAAAAGATTTTAAAGAATTCATGTATTTTCAATATATAATCAATAGAGCCCTGCCCTAACACCAGAAACCCTGACCCAGGGACCATAAAATTCACAATTTTGGTAAAAGCACTTTGTCATCATAACTATGCACTTAGTTTTTTTTAATACCTAGGAGCAGAGAAGAAGATTTTCAAAGAATTCATGTATTTTTACTATATATAATCTAAACAGCCCCGCCCTAACACCAGAACCCTTGAGCCATAAAATTCACAATTTTGGTTGAGGCACTCTTGCTCATCATAACTATGCACTTAGTTGGTTTATTTAATACCTAGGAGCAGAGTAGAAGATTTTCAAAGAATTCATGTATTTTCACTATATAATCAATAGAGCCCCCCCCCCCAACACCTGAACCCTTGACCCTGGGGCCATAAAATTCACAATTTTGGTAGAGGCACTCATGCTCATCATAACTATGCACTTGTGTATATTTAATACCCAGGGGCAAGAAGAAGATTTTCAAAGAAATCATGTATTTTCACTATATATAATCAATAGTCTCTGTCCCTAACACTAGAACCATTAAACCCTGGGGCCATAAAATTAACAATTTTGGTAAAGGCACTCATGCTCATCATAACTTGCACTTAGTTAGTATATTTAATACCCAGGGGCAGAGAAGCAGATTTTCAAAGAAATCATGTATTTTCACTATATATAATCACATTGCAGCCTTATAACACCAGAAGACCCCGGGGCCATAAAATTCACAATTTTGGTAGAGGCACTCTTGCTCATCACACTATGTACAGTATGGTTTATTTAATACCCTTATAGAGAAGAAGATTTCCAAAGAAATAATGCATTTTCACTATATACTTATTTAGCCCAGCCCTAGCACTAAACCCCTGACCCCAGGGCCATGAATTTCACAATTTTGGTAAAGGATCAATGCTGATTACAAAACAAACAGTTTGACTGCTTAAATGTCCAGGAGTAAAGAAGAAGATTTTTAAAGATTGCATTAATTTTAGTGGTTTTGGCCCCACCCATCAGGCCCTAAGGGGCAGGGATCATGAAATTCACAGTTTATGTTTCCCTTCACCCAAGATGCTTTGTGCCAAATTTGGTTGAAATTGGTTCAGTGGTTCATCAAAGAAGCATGAAAATGTTCAAATGTTAACACACGACGGACGACAAACGACGGACGACGGACGACGAACGACGGACGACGACGGACGAAAACGGATAGCAATAGGTCACCTGAGTTTACTCAGGTGACCTAAAAATGCTTACTAGGGGCATTATCCATAGGCAGCATAACTTGAACTGGTGCTCCTTTCAGCCACAGGGAGGGTGTGCTATTGCTTTAATACTAGCTATCAATGCATCAACAAATTAATTTTAAAACTAGAGGTACTGTGAGCAATGAGCTCACTTTATGTTTTATGGTTATAATGGCAAAGTCCATGTTTTGTTGTGGCCGGGAAACCCAAAATATGTGTCGGATCAAAAAGTAAAATAGGAGGTGCACAATGGCAATATGTAACAAAGATTCTGTGAAAGTATTAAATTTCATTCAGTGGTATGAGAGGAGTTGTGGATAAGAGATGGGTAACCCAAAGAGTAACAGACAGACGGACGGACATACCGATTACAGTATACCCTCCCACTTTTAAAGCAGGGGGTTATAAAAAGTTGATGGTTCAATTCCTGGTCTGGACAGCACTTCGTGAGAGTAGTCAGTACTGCATGGTACCAATCTGATGGAATATATGTTGAACTTTTTACCTTATCTGCAAGATTTTGCTCTTGACCATGAAATAATGTTCAGATGTATGCTTAAAATATTTCAGACTTTTTACACTGAGAACTACTGTGCAGGGATCAACATTAATGGTTGCCCACCAGCCCGGGCAACTGAATAATAAGATAGGGCTATTTAATAAGTCTTTCAGCTTTTCCAACAGGGCTACTAATTTTAAATATGAAACATTTTCTAAAATCAATAATTATTGTTGAATTTAAATAAAATAAATTTTCAAAAAGTCTAATTTTAATTTGAAGCAATTGTAAAATTCTTTAAAGTACAAGTTCAAATTTTGTCATTGTCAGATAAGTCAAATTGAACTGTTAATTTTGTCATTTTCGAAAGTTGTTTTGGTTTGCCCAATCAATTATCTTTATCACCCAAGTGTTTAAAACCTAGAGAATACATGCAAGCAATGCACATACTTAATCAATAAATTACCTTAAAAATGTAATTTAATTCAATTCTTTACAAAATAAATATGGAATATTTCATTCTTTAAAAAATGTCTCTCCTTACGTTCATGACATGGCAAATTTTATTCAAAAATTCAACCGGAACGCAACCCCCAACCCTCGTATTCAACTAATAAGAGGGGAAACCACCTCTGCACCTACCCCACCCATGGGTTTAAGAATTCGACCAGCAGCCTTTGTAATTCATTTGCAGAAATTGAAAGTTGCTGGCCCTTTGGGGCAGTTTGGGTTAACTGCTGCAGTTTCAACTTCTTTCGTAAACCTGCCCTTTTTACTTTTTTGTGTAATGAAAGGACTTGCGTACATTTATTCTTTCAGTCATCAACACGACTACATGACATTCTGTTTTTCTGACATACACATACTAAGTCTGCAATTTTGAAATGTGCATTTGCTAACTATTTCATCAAAGAAAATTTTTCACTTGAAATGAAGGAATCTCAGTGCCTTTAGGAAGAAGAACACAAAATATTCAAAATGTACTTCACAGCCCAAACCACAGTCAATTTATCTGTGAAGGGCAAATAGCTTATATAACGATACCCTGGGCGACACAACCGAGGTATCTCTCTACACGTCGATTGCGTACCGGTGTTGTTTGGGACAAACCGAGAGCAAAGAAAGTGATTTTGGTTTCGTCTATCTCAACTTGACAAAAAGTCCACTTACTTATTCTTGGTTGTGAAATATAGTCCCTTGTTATTGCCATTTTGTGGGTATTTCTGGCCGCAATATCGCTCAGCGGCCCGTTCAACGATTTCATGTCCATTTTTCCTGTGCTCGCCATCTTTGATAGTAATGATCATGTGACTTGTGAAAGTCACGCGAACTCTTCAAAGGGGAGTAACTCAATGTAAATAATGTGAAAAATTAATGTTAAAAAAATTGAAAAATCACTTCCAAGAACTTTTCAAAATGAGTTATGAAATGTTGAATTCCAAAAAGAGAACCTCTACTTCTATTTTGTCCCAGTTTCAAAAATTGAAGACCTTGGTTAAATATTTCAACAAGGTTCTTTTACATCTTTCTAAAATCATGTTTTGATTACGAATCATTTTTGAAACACGTTAAGTTATTGATTAAAATGCTTCTTAAAAATATATTACTATTTATCAATCGTTTAAAGAACTTTTCTTGGATCCAGGATTTTTTCCAAGGGAGGGAGGGGGGTTCAACCCCAGTCCAAAAAAACAAACACGTAAACTCCTTTTCCAACTTTCAAAACTATTTCGTGGTGGTGGGGAGGCCGGGGTGGTCGTTGACTTCTATGATTTTTCATAATGTAAAGCTTTGATGAAGAAAAAATAAGAAAAATAAAATAATTTTGAAAAAAAATTATTAAAGTCTGCCTCTTCGAGGGGGTTCCTCGTTTTCTAGGGGAGACCCAATGTCACTTTTAGTTTGTTTAGCATATATATTTTATAATAACTCTGCAAATTCAAATAAAGTCCGACCCCCAATAGATCCGTGTAAATTTTCTTTTATTCATAATAAACCTTGTATAACATTGCTATGTTGTGCTTCCTGGGGAATGATCAATGAAAATTTATCCAAGTTAGTTTACTGTTAGAAATATATTCAACCGAACCATCCTTGAGCTCAACGTCTCATCAACTGCATCCCAAGTCAGAATTTTTTCTCTCCCTTTTCTAGTTGAAACTGACTTAGAGAAATAAAAATATTTTTTCAAACTTCATATACCGAAACATATTGGAGATAAGTTTAAAACTTTTTTAAAGAAAAAGAGAGAACTGACATTGCATTGACCTTTCAGTTTCAAAGAGTCTGTCCTATATTTTTTCATAATTTTTGTTAGGCCATTATTTACAAACTGAATTGACGACGGATTTTTCCGTTATTTCCCGATCATGACAAGGAGGACACAGCGGGTGTGATCGGTCGACAGGACATGCTCACTCCTCAATGACACCTGATCCCACCTCTGATGTTTTGGAGGTCCGTGTTTGCTCTGCTCCTATTTTGATTTTTTTATAGAATTTTGAGCTTGAAAACTGTTCGTTATCTCCATATATTTCATTCCATTCGAGCTTATGCATGTACATGTAATTCATGCTATGAGTTTGGGTTTATTTATCGTTCTAAGTTGATCTTTGTTTCCAACATTTTGAGTACCTTATTCAATATCTAAAAAATCAGGTATGGTCGCGTAATTACAGAGTATAAGAACAATCAAACGCCATTATGGAAAAAATATGATTTTTATTTATTATATATAATTACATGAAAAATGAATTTGATTGTACATGTGGAAATAAGTATTGTTTTATTACTTTAAATATAAAACATGAATTAAATTTGAACTCTCATCACAACCGATAATGTCGATATCAGTATAATGTTTATATCACTGTATGTTGTCTTCACATGTGTTCTGTGTTGGGCATCGGCGGTGGTAGATCGCCCGGCCCTCCCCTGGCTCCGATAGGCGCGGGTGGTGGGTGGTCGTAGGCGGGCGGTGGTCCCAGTGGGGCCCCGGGAAATCCATGGTTCAGGTACTCTGGCTCTGGCTCACCTGCAGGGGGTAATCCATATCCCATGTAAGGATGGTTTGGATCTTAAAACAAAAAAGTCCCAACACCTGGAGAAACTTTGATCCGCCGGTGGATGATTGTATATTAGAGGAGCGGATCAAAGTTCATTTATGTATAGTATAGTAGTTCGATTTGATGAATTATGAATAAATAAGTTTCGAAACTGATAGAAGAAATTATAGTTATATATCGAAAGTAATTAGTTATTCTTATTGAACTACTAGTGTTATACATAAATGAGGAGCAGTTTTTATGGTAGTGTAGAATAGGTTGAGGGAAAGTTGAAATAAAATGTGAAGGAAAGTGGAAAGAAAGAAGCACACATAGTTGAAATCAGCCTTCTATATTCAAATATACAGACATTTTTTAATTTTCTTACAATTTTTTTTATTTTTATCACTTTCTACATCTTCCACAAGAAAAATAACCTTTAATAATCAACTTTCTAAATAATTGACTTTTTAAATAAAAAAAAAAATGCACTTTGAGTTCAGACGTTTTATGCTTTCAAAACAGTTTTACAATTGGTTTAACACCTTGAGAAACTTTTAAAGCTTTGAGTGAATATAAGAAAATATCAAGTAAATTTCCCCATCTATCAACATCACCTCTTCAAAGCCTCACCCTCTATGTTATTTGCACTTTGCCCACTAAGCCCACCCCCGAAAATACCTAAACAATAGACTAGTACAAAGTTACAAGCAATATCAATCACTATGCCTGATATTTTCTCGGACTGTTTTGAACATGCATCGAATATGTACATGTTTTAGGACGCTGAAATCTTAAAACTAGATCGTTATCACATCAAAATTTGGTTTGCATTCTGATAGTACATTGTATCTCATCTTCGCTAGCCAGAGGAGAGGAGCGCATCGTCACCTGCATGGCTAGCGAAGCAGATCATCACCCTTGGCTAGCGAAGATGCTTAACTGAATATGATTAAGCTTAAAAGTGAAAAAGACCAAGGTTGGGTATAAGCAATTAATAAGTATAGAAGAGGTGTCAGTATACAGAATTGGTACGTTAACATTCATAATGTGTATTATACAGGGCGTGTAGGTTTTGGGACCCGTTTTAAGACACAGTCTATACCTACTCATATTAAAATCAAAGCCTTCATCAATCTCCTCTTCTTCTTTCTTCTTCTTCTTTTTGGAAATGTGACAGTATACGATGATTCCTACGATGACAGCGATAGCGGTGAGAGCCCCGATTACTCCGCCGGCGATTGCCCCCGCGCTGAAATGAGAGAGGCAAAGTTTTAACACGATATAAAATGCATCTTTTGAAATTCTAAAAAAAAAATGAGGCAATGTTTACCAAACCTCTTGAACTTAATGGGGCCGACGGACAAAAATGAGAAATTCTACAATTGATGTTATTATTCAAAATTGATATCGAAAATTTTGAGGTGACTTTAACTCATTTCGACATATCCAATTCATTCGAGATATCGAAGTTGGAGATATTGAAGTTCTACTGTATTTTGCTTTTTTTCGTTATTACGTCCATTTAAAAAATTCTTCCTTGGTTTATATTAAAATAAACAATATCCAGTTCTATTTCCAAAGTTCAGCTTTGGGAGAAAAATTTGAAGAAAGATCTAGAGAGAGAGAGAAGGTAGAAGTTGAAGTCTTAATTCTTTCATATACTTGGTCTTTTTGCAGCATTCCCTGTCGTGTGCGTAGCCACAGCAGCCATTAGCACAATACATGTAGTAGGTGTTGATGTTGTTTGAGTAGTAAGTAAGACAATAGTCTGCATGGCTGAAATCTGAAAATGAAAATTAATAAAAAAAAAATTCTGTTTATCTTTTTATTGAATTCAATGCGCAAACAATGAATCGTTGAAACGTCCAAATCTGGCCCTCCATAATTTACCCACTTGGATCGATATCTTGGATGGTAATCAATTTTATTCAATTATGGACATTTTATTATTTTAAAAACTGGTATATTTTCTATATGAAAAAAACGTGAACTTAGCTACTTTATAGATAAACATTTATTTTCTCAAAAGTCATATTCTTTTATAATCACGTACCTGTTAGCGAAAGGAAAAAGGCCACCAAAACCGCAGAAATAAAGAATCTGTCCATTGTTTTTTTTTATAAATTTGTAAACTATCTATCAAGAAAAAAACATTCCATATTTTTTACTGGCCCATATTCCGTGTAAATGTACAGAAGAAAGTAATCCGTTTTAACACATTGGTTCCAATAACCTCAAATTTATAAAGAAATCGTGTGCTTTAAAATTAACCCACTAAAATATTAATCTTATAATCCCCTTAATCGCTAATATGAACTTATTTGGACATTGTATAGTGTGTATTGACACATTTAGGTTGTGTTTTCATAAGTGTACAGGGAGTTAGCCATTTAATGCCAACTGCGGCCTGAGTGTGAGGAAAAGGTTACCCTAAATACAAGGATTTATTGCTACATTGGGTCACAACAGTGCACATGTTTCTAAAATATATTTACATATCAAATGCTATATTTTGAATCAATTCTGAACATACAAATATATAAATGTTGTGAGCAAAGTAATTTCATGCATCCATCAATAGAACCTAGAGAAATTCTAGAGATTCCTGAATTTCAAACACCTTATAGTAATAAAATCATGTCATTTTCTTTAATTAATGCTTGGATACTCATCAATTTTGTTATCCTAAAATATATTTGTTGACCCATTTTTATTTAGAAAAAGCATAGTACAGTAGATGTTTTTATTTGCATTTCCCGAATTTTTTTTTTCATTTAATTATTTTCCCTATATCTTATCATTAACTTTAATGAAACAAGAGGCCCATGGGCCACATCGCTCACCTGAGCACTAAGGGTAGGAAAAAGTAGAAAATGGCTTTTTATTGTCAAGTTTAAATCCAAAAGTAGTCCCATGACCAATCATGGATTTGCTATTTTTTAGAAAATGATTTTTAAAGAATTTTCCTATATATATCTTTAAAAACTTTGGTCGGCCATTTTGGCCCCGCCCTATCCCTGGGGGTCATGATTAGAACAAATTTGAATCTACACTACTTGAGCATGCTTCCATATAAAGATGATCAATTATGGCTTTGTCATTCTTGAGGAGATTTTTAAAGAATTTTCCTATTTATTTCTATATAAAACTTTGGTCGGCCATTTTGGCCCCACCCTACCCCGGGGGGTCATGATTTGAACAAACTTGAAACTACACTACCTGAGCATGCTTCCATATATATATGATGAATTATGGCTTTGTCATTCTTGAGAAGAAGATTTTTAAAGAATTTTCCTATATATTTCTATGTAAAACTTTTCGGCCATTTTGGCCCCGCCCTACCCCAGTGGGTCATGATTTGAACAAACTTAAATCTACACTACCTGAACATGCTTCCATATAAATATGATGAATTATGGCTTTGTCATTCTTGAGAAGAAGATTTTTTAAAGAATTTTCCTATTTATTTCTATGTAAAAGTTTGGTCGGCCATTTTGGCCCCACCCTACCCCGGGGGGTCATGATTTGAACAAACTTGAATCTACACTGCCTGAGCATGCTCCCACATAAATATGATGAATTATGGCTTTGTCATTCTTGAGAAGAAGATTTTTAAAGAATTTTCCTATATATTTCTATGTAAAACTTTGGTCGGCCATTTTGGCCCCGCCCTATCCCCGGGGGTCATGATTTGAACAAAATTGAATCTACACTACCTGAGGATGATTCCACATGAGTTTCATCTTTCCTGGCCCAGTGGTTCTTGAGAAGAAGATTTTTTAAATATGCCACTAAATTTTCATTAATTCCCAATTATCTCCCCTTGAATAAGGGCTTGGCCCTTTATTTGAACAAACTTGAATCCCCTTCACCCAAGGATACTTTGTTGCAAGTTTGGTTGAAAATGAGAAGAAGTCGAAAATGTGAAAAGTTTACAGACAGACGGACAGACAGACGGACGCCGGACAAAATGTGATCAGAAAAGCTCACTTGAGCCTTCGGCTCAGGTGAGCTAAAAATGGGTAATTGATCAATAGTTACCCATCACTTTAAGATTTCAGAGACATTTTTTTGGAACATATTCAATTACTCTGAAATCACTAATTTTCGCGGGGGTTAATTTTTGTTGTTTTCAAGGTATGGAGACACCCACAAATTCATGACTACCACGAAATGTAGAATTGCATATGCATTACTACTTAACATTCTCGACCACAAAATCAAATCCCCACAAACCAATATTTTTCCTCAAACCTTGAAAATTTTTACCCCTTTAAAATAAGTGATTTTACAGTACTCAGCACCTGATATTTAGAATCTCAGATGACTTTCTTAATTTATTTGATCCTAAGAGTGCAAAAAATGCACAAGGAAAAAAAAGCAATTTGACTATAGAATCTTTTTTTTTATTTTGTAGGTTATGTATTAACTTCAATTCACAGCATTTTAAACAAAAAACAAGAGATGTTTGTAAAACACTTATGCCCCCCTCCCCCCAAATTGGATTTTTTTTGTAAGTCCAAGGGGCATAACTCTGTCAAAAATGGCACCATCGTACCCAAAACAGAACTTGACCTAGATATTCATCTGATAAATCTGTATATTAAATTTCATCTCAGTATGTGCAACGAGTGCAAAGAAAATGAACAAAAACTGCAAATAATTGGATTTTTTTCAAACTCCAAGGGGCATAACTCTTTCAAAAATGGTGTGATAGTATCCAAAATAGAACTTAAATTAATAGATATTAATTTGATATATCTGTATACCAAATTTGATTTCAGTATGTGCAACAGCTCCAAAGAAAATGAGCGGAAACTGCAAATAATAGAAATTTTTCTAAGTCCAAGGGGCATAACTCTGTCAAAAATGGTGCCATTGTACCCAAAATACAACTTGACCTAGATATTCATGTGATATATCTGTATACCAAATTTCATTTCAGTATGTGCAACTGTTCTAAAGAAAATGAGCGGAAACTGCAAATAATTGAAATTTTTCTAAGTCCAAGGGGCATTACTCTTTCAAAAATGGTGTGATCGTATCCAAAGTAGAACTTGACCTAGATATCAATTTGATATATCTGTATACCAAATTTGATTTCAGTATGTGCAACGGCTCCAAAGAAAATGAGCAGAAACTGCAAATAATAGAAATTTTTCTAAGTCCAAGGGGCATAACTCTGTCAAAAATGGTGCCATTGTACCCAAAACAGAACTTGACTTAGATATTCATGTGATACATCTGTATACCAAATTTCATTTCAGTATGTGCAACTTTTCTAAAGAAAATGAGCGGAAACTGCAAATAATTAAAATTTTTCTAAGTCCAAGGGGCATAACTCTGTCAAAAATGGTGCAATCGTACCCAAAACAGAACTTGACCTAGATAATAATTTGATATATCTGTATACCAAATTTCATTTCAGTATGTGCAACGGCTCCAAAGAAAATGAGCGGAAACTGTAAATAATTGAAATTTTTCTAAGTCCAAGGGGCATAACTCTGTCAAAAATGGTGCCATTGTACCCAAAACAGAACTTGACCTAGATATTCATGTGATATATCTGTATACCAAATTTGATTTCAGTATGTGCAACGGTTGCGAAGAAAATGAACGGAAACTAAGTGGACCGACAGACCGACAGACCGACCGACCGACCGACCGACAGACAGCAGCAAAGCAATATGCCCTCCCTTCTTCGAAGGGGGGCATAATTAATGTTATCAACAAATGGAAGATATAAAGATTGTGGAAGTTAAGATCCTAAACAGAAATCAAAGATCCAATAGACAAACATCAAAGATCCTAAAGAGATATCAAGGATCCTACACAAATATCAAAGATTCTAGACAGATATCAAGAAATCAAGATCCTAGACAGAAATCAAATCCTACAAGATATCTAAAAAGAAAGTTTATCTTTTCACAGATGTTCACAAATCTTCTTGTCTGTAAACATTTACACACAAACACACACACAAAGTAAGAAAATATGGAGCAAGGCAAAAGGTTGGACACCTGAGAAATTGCGAGGCTGATGTACAGGCAAATCAATAAATTATTATAAAAACATGTTGGCATATCAATTCTACGCAAAACAACCATTACAATTATCTAAGGAGCTAGTTTTCAAATAACTTTTTTTTAAAAAGGACAATCAATTTAAAAACTTTTTTAAAATAAGAGGCATGTCAATAAAAATGATTTTTCTAGTAAAAGTGTTGCTAAAAATCAATTTATGGAAATGATAGCTGATAAAACAGTGGCATTTTAGTCAATTTCTCAAATTTCAAAAAATATTCTTCCTTAAATTTATCCTTTATTTTTACAATACTTTGAAAATTGATACATCTGAAATATATTACAGTTATCAAACAAGCTGCCTTCTCAAAAATTTTCTTTGACTAGTTCATATACATGTACTATTAACAAAAATTAACTTGCTTCATGAAAAAAAAAAAACAACCAAGCACACAAACCAGTTTCTCTGAATGCCATTTACATAGGATTCTTTGGTCCAAAATTTGATGAACACGATTTCACAAACGCGTAACAGTCTTCTTTCATTCACAATCACTTGGTTTTTAGAAATATGTACATTAAATACTGTAACATACTAGCACTAAGGTGTGCAGTTACCCAGTACACAGATGCTTCTACATACAATGAATTGCACTGGAGTACAGAGTATTTGTCCTGGTTATCAGTAGATACTTTATAGCACTTTTAAATATTTTGTCCTGTTGAACACAACATGGTGTATTGTAAGGAATGGGTTATGGTCGAAGAGAGATAACTCTTTCTCCCCTACACTGTTGTTGTGTATGGGTTATCTCCCCTAATCTGCTTGGCTTCACCCATCAGTGTGTTCAACATTTGGCTGAGCTGGTCATCTTCTTTCTTGATGTCATTTACAACACTTCTGGGTCTTGAACTGGCTTTGTCTAAAATTGGATAAAAACAAAAATATATGATTTGATCAGGTATAAAATGAATTTCTAAAGAGGTAAAGCACTTGAAATGAAATTATTTTAAATAACAGGCATTTCATTTAACAAATCAATTTTAATGGCATCTTCCCCTACCTGCTAATGGAGTATCATCATAAATAGAGGATTTCCTTAAGAAGGCGGGTTTTTTGTGAGGTGAAGGAGATTTGATCTCCATAAGGTAATCACAGGCATGCTTCCAGAGAGCTGAAATGGACAATGAAAACATTAAATAAAAGTCTCAATTTGTATTTAAAAACAAATTCTTTTGAATATAAAAAAAGATAATTCACCATTAAACTTGAGAGATAAAAACATGACAAATTAAGGGAAAAAATCTTTGCAATTTAATTAAAATCAGATCCTTGATTCATTCCTTTATTTTTTATTGTCAATACACAAGGTAGCCACAATACATAAAATAAAGGAACAGATTGAGAATCTGATTTTAATCAAATACAAAATCTTTGCGAATGAAAAGAAATAATTTGTGCAGTAAATGCTACCTTGATCCAGTAGATGTTGCTGGAGTCCGTCCCACCACTGGGCCAATTCGTCTTTGGACTCCGCCGCCAATGTGTATTCCCGGGATCCACCCCTCTGTTTTGTCATGATGTGGAACGTGTGTTCTGTTCCTGAGCTCTTACTGGGATCTGAATCACTGATCTGAGTATTCTGTAGGGAACAGATTAAAATTTGTCTTAATACAATATTTTCATTACTTTAATATCTTCATATATACTCTTATTTTATACAATTAGTGAGGACTGCAATCATCTTCTTAAAGTAATTTGAAACCTATTGTCAGAAACATTAACAATAAAAATATCCTTTTTCTGTTTTTAATTTTCACCTGCTTCAATTCCACTATATGCACTTGAAGTGTTTCAAACTTGCATACATACACATTTTGATCAATATTGTATATGCATAAGAATGCATAGAGAGGAAATTCTGTTTGTTATAAATTTTGTTTACCTTGGTAACAGGGATCACTAGCAGTGGCTCTGTGACCTCCATGTCTTCTTTACAGGACCAGCAGGAGAGAGAGAGGTTCTTTAACACACACCAGAACGGCTTAGCTTTATCCTCCTCCTACAATATTCAAATATTTAATGTAAGAGTTATCTTTCTTGTTGTATATACACTAATAAAAATATTCAACACAGTATTATGGCATTTTTTTGGGGGAGGGAGGGGGGGTCAAAATCAGATTGATGATAATTAATCCTTCCTTTTGATTACAGGGTATATGGGTTTATTTTCACAATGTGTAAACAGGTTTTTTTTTGCTCGTTTGTACTTGCTAATTTGAATTTGCCTGAAAGCCATTTGTCTTGTAAATATTCTTTTCACAAGAGACCAATAGTGTATTATATGACTTGAACAAGTTTCCTTACCACAAGTTTGAGGTTTCCGGAGACAATGGGCTCCACTAGACACTCTGGCTGACTAGCCAATCTCAGACAGTAAACACCAAACAGGGGGAGTTCACAGGTTGCGAGGTCAGCACCAGAGGTCAACTGTAGGTCAAAGTTCCCAATGGAATCGCTCACATCTTTCAGCTCCATAGTTCCACTGGCCATCAGCTCAAAACGAGGACCCCTAAAGAAATAAAAAAAAATTGTCAATGAAAGCATTGCACTTTTCAAAGGTTGTAATTATAGAATATTTTTTATTGCAATAGACATGAACAAACATATAAATGTTTATCTTACATTAACTTTAGACTATGAACAAGCACTTCATATAAATTTTCATCTTATATTAACTTGGGAAATTAAATGCTTATCATCTTTATAAATCCCTAGATCCAAAAGTGTAGAGTAATTACAAAATATTCAATAATGAACTGGGTAGAGCATCAACATGTGTAGCGTTATTAATACCGTAATGTACGGTAATCTGTCTGAATACGATCAAGCCCTACATGACAGTGCATTAAATAAATTATACTTAGATAAATTACATAAAGATACTTACAGGACCATGTTTCCTATAATGTCTGAGTCATTCTGAAACAAAACAAAAAGGAACACACATGAATATGGAGCATAAAAATGAAGCCATACTTTAACTCAAACACTTCTTAGGTTATCAAATTTGATACGCTATCCTGTATCTTCAAGACAATTCACAGTATTTTTGCATGACAACATGCAATTTGACAAAGTCAACAGTAAATTTACAGATATCTCTATTGAAAGTGTTAAACTTTAATCTACTATTTTTTAAGTGTTTTGATTTCTTCGATGGTATCTTTTTGACCTGCTTTTAAACAAGATTTGTTTATTTCCAGTCTACAGACTTCAATAATAAGCATCTTTAAACTAAAAAAGACCATTAAAGTTTCCCTTTGTTAATTTAAATTCTGATAACGTACCAATCCCGACAGGCGTTTCCCGACACTGCGCCCAACAGACCCTGACAAATCGTTGATCTTCTTGCGAAGCTTCTTGGGTGTGCTCGCAATGGTGAGATCTTCATGAAGTTTGTGACAATACACCTCGAATTTACACGTGAAATCATGGGGGACATTATTGCTGTAAAAAGAGATTGACACAATGATCTACAATTCCATTGACTGTAAATTTGATATCATAAAAAGTGGAGGTTTTATACAAGGTTACATTCAACTGTGAAGGTGGTCAAATTTCGTCTGTCTTCCCTCTTTTTTTTTTTTTTAAAGTTTATCCATGTTGGAAAGAATATCATACAAAATTTCAAAGAAGTAAATGACCTGCACAAGCAAAATTTGAAAGAAACTTATATTTCGTGTATATTTAAATATATTTTTTTAATATTTGCCCAATTTCCTAATAAAATATAACAAGAAGTTTTATAATTATTAACCCTTTAATTCTTTTTTTCAATACAGTACTTCATGATAAAGATATTTGTACTTACAAAACCATAATGTCATCAAATGTGAGATCAGTCATACTGCGATCTACATTGCTCAGCATGGACGTCTCATAAATATCGGTTCCAATCCTCAGCAAACAGAAAACCGCATACCGTCTGTAATCTGTAAGAAGTGTGAATGATAAAGATAACACTCGAAAGAGACTTTTTTGTGGAAAATGTCCAATTCATTAAAGTTTTTAAAACCGAGATCTGTACGTAGCCTTACCTCCTTTATTCTTGAAATGGTCTGTATCTTTCCACATCAATGGAATGCGAATATCTGAAGAAAGAAGAAAGAAAATTAATTTCAAAATATATATGGTACAGTAAAGAAAATATATACACTGTAAGATCATGTATTTTTTTTTGTTTTGAATTCTCACAGTCTGAGGAAAAATTCGTGGGAATTAGATTTTGTGGTTGTCATTGTGGTTGAAGAAATGTTTTACATTTCTTTGCAAAAATAAATTTGTCGAACTCTTCATTTCACCCAAACAAAATAGTAAGCAAGTCTGTAAAGAAATCTTTTGTCTTTGAAAACTTGATAACTTTTGAAATGCTCCCCTTCAGATCCTTAACAAAATTGGTCTGAGAGTATCTGTGCTCAAAAAAATCATTACTAATTTACTGTCAGAAACCAGAGCAATATAAAGGATAACCCAAGCATACTTTCCAATAAATTTATCAGAAATAGAATAAACACTGTCAGATATTGGTCATATATGACTGAAAATTTGAGCTTATCCACAAGAAAAAATCCAATTTCCTGTTTGGATTCTTGGTGGACATAATTTTGTAGATGGAACATGACACTTGTCATTAGTTTCTGCTTTATTGATAAAAAGCCCAATTTGAGGGTCAGGAGGTTACCATGACAACTATAATAATCAACTCACCAGAAATACTGACTTTAGCTTTACATGGTAGCTGGTTGCCAAGTGTTGATCTAAAATCAAAAACAAAGACATAAATGCTAGGAAATTATCAATCAATTTTTATCATTAAGAAAATATTGAGGTTTATCTCCAATTTTCTTCCTCTAATTAAGGACTATAAAAGGCTTTGTTGTCAGCTGATACATGAAACCAAAGTATAGCAGGGCAAACAATTGAAAGTCTGGCATGGGAAAATCTGACCACTTCAAAACATGCCAAGCTTTTCTCTTAATACTGGGAAGTCCAGAGTCTAGTTAAGAGTTTGTAATGCCAAAACAAGGAAGCTTTTTAGGTTTACGAAAACTGCACGAGAAAGCCTCCCCAACATTATTGTCAATGATATGTACTTAGTGAGTCATCCACTTATTATTCCTAATTGTATTATTGCAATTGATTCCCATTACTATAAACTTAGATAGCCATCATTTACTGGGTTCGGAAAAACTGATATGACACACAAAAAGCACTAAGGTCCTTACACATTTTTTCCTAGCACCTCTGCGGTTTTGCGACGCTGAAGTTCTGTCATGTAGGTCATTATGCGGGTGTTGGATGTGAGCAGGTTTTTGGCGGCTTCCAGCATCTGGGCGGGGTGTTTGGATGCCGCCAACAATTTGGCAGTCCCCTCTCGCATCTTGATTTCATGGTCGATCTTTTGCTGAAGATCATGATCCTGTAAAGAGAAAAAAGCAAGTGATTTATTGTTCCTAATTAATGTATGATTGCATTGGTGATAATGCTGACACAGGTCTGTTAGTGCAGATGTAGGTATGCGCTTTATGTTCACGTCTGTATTAATGTGGTATGTTGTGTTGTCTACGAGAGATTCATTGTCGCAGATGAGATTGTAATCAGAAAATTCTCTCATAATTGTGCAGTAAGAATATCTAACAAGTGAGGGAGAAAGTACAAAGTATGTGTGCAATGTGTTATACAAATAAATAATATATTTTATGTCCAGGGTCCAAATTACAATGGGACTAAACTGACCTTAAAAAGGAGGGGAAAAAAATTGTTGAACTCAGAAGGCTATAAAGTTTCAAAATTTCTTGGATGATATATAAAATTTCTGTATCAAGTGGACTCAAAAATGGTAATTAAAAAGTTTCTTTTGAAGTACATTTGATATGGATTGACATTTGATGTCAATGTAAACAACACTCCTTGTGTGTAAATATAAGCTGGCATGGCAGGGCCTTTCCCCATGTCAATAGATTATTTACATTAAATCAATATGGGTTATAGCTCCAATTACTGTCGACAAATATACTAACGTAAATAAGTCAAACCAACACTTCTAGAATACTAGCAAAGTCTTAGTACTATCAATTTCATGGCTGAGTGAATGTCAATTTGTATAATCATGTAAATATCCTCAAAACAGCTGTGTTCGCTTCAAACATAATTAATTCATGAAGTTAGTTCACATCATCTAAATTTATATTAATAATTCATGTCTCCTAGAACACACTGGGTTAAGCCTAAAGATGGGCAGAAAAAAATTCATTCACCTTTACAACTTTATGAAAACAATAAACCCATGTTTACAGTACTGCACCATCATAGGTAATAATCTATAATGATAAAACACCTCGTTAACCTGTAATTTATAGGTACATGTTAAAAAGGCACACCTGAGATGTTACCTGTGATTACCTGGCTCGTTAAGACCGATTTTAATAAGAGGTCAAGTAGGAAGGGACTTCTGAATGACTTATTATTATTTACCTACTGACTCACGAAGGATGTACACACAAACTTAAAAATCGGTAAATCAGCCGGCACAATGTTGTCCCGAACCTGGGCTCTGACTCATAATGAAAACAACAGAGAGGAAATTGTAAAACAATTGCACATCCGTGTGGCAGGTAGTTCTTTCTGAGATAACAGACCAAGTTTTATGAAAATCAATAACATGGAAGACCTGCCGAGATCAAATCAATTCCCAATATGATCATGAAGTGCAGGTGTACTTCCAGTTATGAATTATAAATTCCACTGGTCACCTCAGAAATGTACGTTAGGTTAAAATCAATTATATTAGGATTGAGATGTGTATCCTGTTCAAATTTTTGTAGAGAAATATTTTTGTACCTGTGACTTCAAAGTGGATTAGGTTGTGACAAAAAAACATAACCCTCCTCCCCACCCCCCACCCCAATACCCCTACACCAAGCAGAGCTTTCAATAAGTGGAGATGGGGGGGGGGGGGCAACCTTCAATTTCAATATGCTGCTTTGACTTTCATAATAGCAAATTAAACTGAATGATAGAAATAATTCTATAACAGCCTCTTCAAATGAATAAATTCAGCTCTTTATCTCAAGTGCCTGTGCTCTTTATGTCATATTAAATTATTGAAAGCCCTTGTCCATTCATACTTTTAGATATATATCATGGGCAAAATGTAAGAATTTCTATCAATTTTGAAATTGACGTTAAAATCAAGAAGTCCGGAGTCTTCAGATTCATTCAATTCTTCAGGGTCACCAGGGGGCTTCATCAAATTCATTAAGCCAAAACACACCTGTCCTCACCTGTAAACTAGACGCCAGCTGTCGGAGGTAGTAGACGCTCATATCCTCCCAGATAATGGGGGAGGAAACCTCCTCCGACACCGGCCTGCTGTCCTTGTGTCCATTGCTGAATAGGTCTATCACGGGAAGGCATTTATCCATCGTTAAAATGTCCCACTGATAACTCCTTACCTCCTCAGTGTGAGCTAGCCATCAATCAGGCCATTATACTAATAGTAATAAATGCACTAACTAGGCTCAGTCATGACTTTCACAATCACTAACAGTATATAAAGGTGACACTTCCTGACTAAGTCCTGAAGAACACTGTCTATGAATTACTGAGCAGGTATTTTTCCCTGTACAAACCACTGTAGCTCTGTCTGTTGACTAATGGGAGATATGAACTTATACACATTAAGAAGACAACAACACCAGTGTCACAGAGCGCAGTACTGCACTGCCTTCGACCCGCTTTTTTCTCTCACATCCTTGGAGCACAATGTATTTTTTTTTCACGCTGAATCTTTTCCCAGAGCAACACCGCGTACTGCACATGCATCAGTGGCATCAAAAAATAAGTACCTGTTGAATCACCCCGGGCCGCCTTTGACTGTAAAGATTTCTAATGAGATACCACGATTAATTATAGAGAAAAATTAAACTTCTTCACACCCATTACTAATTTAGTCCAAAACATTATTTTTTTAATGCAGACTGGTTTGTAGAACAGGCACACACATGAATGAATTTACTAACTCCATTCATCCTTAGTCACCACAACGTTCATCAATCAAAATTTTAAAAACACATGGAGAGAGAGAGAAAGAAAAAAAAACATGTTCCATTGAAAACCACAGCTGATTTGCATCCCATTAATTCAAGGTGAGAAGTGAGTGACTCCTTCTGTTGGAACCAACACTTTGTCAGTCAATATAAAAATCACCCTGTCAGAATCCCTATACATCAATAGTTCACAGCATGTTTCTCAGGTTCCAATTTTCCCTACACATGCATGCAATCCACCCCAAAATAAATAACAAAATGGGTGATTACACCATCCTAGATAACGTTATCAAACATTTGCCCCTCGCTGTTCACTTTCACCTATCTGACACCGTGTTTTAAATGTCACACAGGGTAGAGAGAGAGCCCCTTTGTAGATAGCCGCTTCTTATTGGTTTCTACCCTCTGCCCTGTCTCTCAACATACAAAACCCTTTATCCTTTCAGGTGTGCAGGCAAACAGCTGGATACGGACCTACACAGGACTTTTAATTCATTGATCCCCAGGTCTGATAACCCCGTGTTTCCCCATAATCAGCTGTTTTTGTGTTCTTTTATTTACCACACTTAATCAAACTCTTACCTACAAACTATCAAAGATAAAGTACTAATTTTGTAGTAAAAAAAATCAGTATCATAAATTTTTTTTTGAGACCTATAATTTGTCAAATCAAAATGAAGGTCAGAAATTTTCACTATTTTTAAATATTATTTCCTTATTTTAAAAAAAATTTTTAAAAATATATTTCAATAATACATTAATACTAAATTTCATGGAAAATATTTTTATTTTAGACATAAGGTAATATTTTCATGTTCAAATCTGGTCTATGTAATAAATATATGGCATTATATATAAGCATAAAAGGGAAAAAGACTGAAAAAAGGTTGTAGCAGCAATTTGATCACTTTTTTTCATTTATAACAACAAAACAACTGATTTACACCTACACATTATTAGTAAAACCAACTGGTAGACATTATGCAAGAAAAGGTGTGTTTTTATAAAACTGGACTGTTTGAATATTGTCTAGACCTGGCAGAAAGTCTCTAATCTGATCTGTAAATATCTGAAGTGATTAGTCTTTTATAATCCTCCTTCCACTTCAGCTCTGAGAGATAATCCCTTACTTATCACCCCTTACATAGAACATACTAAAATAAATGTACAATCTTATTTATATACCCCACAAACTAATAATCAAACCCACAAAACCTACATCAATCAATCAGCCAAGAACCTACTTAGATTATACATTAATACTCTATTAGATTGAAATGACTGAAGGAAAAATGACCAAACATGAAATTCATCACAGTTTTGATTTACAGGTTCACGCCCATGATCCCTTTGTCACGAAAAACACAAAAGCTAAAAATCTGACAACACTGAATCTGACCTTCTGTTGCACAGCTCTGGTCGGCATCGCTTCATCATCCACCTCCATTATTTGTCATTATACGAACTCTACTTAGAAATAATGGCTATCCGATTTTAAAACCAACAATTCTCCCCGATATTTTTGTTTTTAACCTAAAATCTAGGACCGTCCAGTTACATAACTTGCTCTGTGAGGGTTGTCATTGTTTTTCTATTGAGTTTCTGAAGCTGATTCAGAATTGACATGGGGATTGGCAGAAATCAATAACCCTACATACATTCTTTACCAAACATCAGCAACAAAAGAATATTTTCCAATAACCCATGAATAAATGTCTCATGTCGTAAGAGTTATCTCCCTTTCTGCAGACTCCCAATGCATAAATGAATACATACATGTATATTCTCCCCAAAAATGAACTGTTAGCTTTTACTCTTGAAAATTTCAGCAGGGGGGTAAAAATACACCACTATTCAATCAACGTCCTTGTATCTAGACATATAAATCACAAAATGACAAAACAGCAAAAAATGAAAACAAAAAACTAAAATAGCAAAAAAGGAGAGCTTTACCATGGTGATTTTTCTTTTGGGTGGGGTACTGCGGATCTTGATGTACATAAATCTTTTTTTCATAGTGTGGGCCAGGGAAGGCATGATGGCTGACTGGTATTTTCTTTTGATTTAGATCTCAGATGAAGATAAGATTGAGAAATGTGACCCTTGATTCATAACATAGAGCTTTTATACACCCATATCTTATGCCTGGTGTGTACCAACCTGTTAATTTTACAATTAATCATCTCTTATTTGTGAAATTTCTACCATTAACTGTACCATATAGCCCTTAGTCAGAATTGTAGTTGATAAAGACACAATTAGCCAAGTCACCTGGGGGAAAGCAAAATTATCAAAAGGACCATGTAACTTCATGAGAGATAATTACATGTCTTTTTTCTGGTAATTAAATATAATTAAAATTCAAAAAAATATTTATTTAATTGACTGCCATAAAAATGTGTAGTAATTATTTTCAAATGATTATTTTTTTACAGCTATGAAATTTTCCTAATGAGTGAAAATTAAGTTGATAGGAAATACTGTAATTTCTTTTTTATACACACTAGAAAAAAAAAAACCCTGAAACATGAAGACACAACTCAAACCAAAAACAAAGTAGTAAAACTTAATTTACTTACATTTATGAATACTGGTAAATCCTTTGACATTGTATTCAAAAATGATAGTATACAGAACTTAAGGATTCATTTCCCGAACAATTTTTTTTTTGTTTTGAAAAATCCGTCCCACTTCACCGTTAAGTATTTTCTATATCTGTACTCCAATCATTTCCCCCAATCATACAACAAAAACTAAATTATCATGTCAAATGTCACTGCGTGCCTCTAAAAAGCTGGAGCGTTGATGCTTTTCCTCCATCTCGTCAGGGACTGTGTCAGAAGCATCTTTTTTTATTTTTGTGAGACGGACCCAAAGCCCATAAAGACGGGAATGTTCACAGGAAATCTGGACATAAAATCTAGGACTACTGTGTCACTTCACAGCCATTTCTGTCAAGTTTATAATCATGACATCTGTTTAATCACATTATAATTACTGGTTCTTCCTTTTTAGACAGATAGGCACATTGTTAGGCCAAAAGACCCATTAACTTACATATGCTGATGGTTTTAATGAGATTCTTGTATATCTCAGATCATTTATTAGTAATAACAGTTAGTATGTATCAAAAATATAGACTCTGACTGTGATTTATTTGGAGAGGGAAGGAGGGGTGTGTGGTATAAACAGGGTTTGAGCTTCAAAAACTTAATGAAATTTTTGTCCTTCAGTTGGTAATCTTTAATTTTAAAGAAAGATCTCTGAAAGAATTTTTTTCTCTTATCAAATTATTTCCTTTTAGTATAGAAATAAGAACAAAATCAAATACATCCCCAATGATCTCTTAAAAAATACTTCATGCAATATTTGGCAAAAATCATATTAATCCCATAAGTCTTTATGCTTTATAATAAGCAAATTAACTTCCTGAATTCACGAACAAAGAAAACAAATTGCAGCCAATATGATTTTTTTAAATCATCCCTTGGTGCCCAACCCCCTGAGCCATATGGTTACCACAGAATGGTTTTCATTATGAGCACACTTAAGTTTTTACCTCAAAAGTGGGATCCATTACAATTTCCCAAGTCCAAGTTTTGTGTATTTATAATTAGACCTTCCTCATGGATCATATATTATTGTTAATATTCTTAAAAATAATTATTTGTACCCATGCATTATTCCACTTCTAAAAAGATAAGGAAATATTAAGGATCTTCTTTTATGTCCTCTAAACAAACTTATTATCTTAAAAAAAGGAAGTAGAAAACAAAGTAGAATGATAAAGGGTGGAGTGATATAATTCAACCAATAAAACAGATATATATTATTGTTTCCACTTTTCAGAAATGTACAGTATATATATAGTGAGAGTCCTCCCAAAATGTCTATAAATACATGAGTTCATTATCTGCATCAGGACATAACCTCTATGCTAGCCATAGGGCCCATAAAATCTGCCGTCACAATAAATTAGAGGACAAATGAGACTAAATAGAGTGTACAGTAGTTAATCTTCCCAGTGTTTAGTGTTTACTGATGTCCCTCTAGGAAATATATATCAAGGGCTAAAAATAAGGAGAGATCGAGCAGCAATACTAACTGCTTATGTTCACTGTTAATTTGACACATAAGAGACCAGGAGTTATGCCCCTTATATTTTCTCAATGAAATGAATCCAAACATCATGTACATTTGAAAAGAACTATTGAAGGAGCGGAATTACTCATTCGACAAGGATCAAACCAAACAATAGTATCACTAGACAGGGGGTGTTAATTAACACAGCAGGGGGGATATCAGGTGTGTTATACACAGGGTGGGTGTGAAGAACCTGATCACAGGACTGCCTGTGGGAAGATGTTATACACACTGATGTCACAATCACTTATCTTTACTCATTATGGAAACTGGGAAATAGATTCTTACATTAATTACACTAGTTAATACCCTTAATTCATGAGCAAGAAAAAATACTGTGCAAAAACATTCATTTATTGCATATATATTTAAATTTTGATATTCAGTACTGACTTTTTGTAACAAATTTATATTAATAAATATTTTTTAAAAATATTTTTTAATTTAAAATATTATAATTTTTTTAAAATAAATATTTAAGAAAATCTTATATTTTATTTTACACTTTCTGATAGTATGTCTTGATTGCAATACATCAAGACACAGTGAAAGCATGCAGACCCTAAAAGTTGTAAATTGTCAATTCCAAATTGAACTATTCTCCCCCTCCCCCTTGTGAACTATGAATTTATATATTCCACTAGAGAGTGTGCATTACTAAATAATGTAAGGCAGGCAGATGAGCACCCTGCTGAACTTATCAAAAAAATCTCCTAGTACCCCCAGAGGGCCCTACAGATAGGAAAGTGACAGGCCATTATCAGATCTTGGGTAGCATTACTTCCCCAAATTAATCCTTGTCTATTTGTTATCCACAGGCTGCATTGTTCCAAGGTGTTTACCAAGGAGATTGTTAAGTCTAATAGGTGGCAATGGGGAATTTGTATTTATTTTTGAATTATTGGCCACTCATGACAGGATATTGTCAAAGTTCCCATGCCCATAACATGTGATTATAACACACCTGTATACAGGTATACCTCTGCCTGAATGTCATGTGATAGAGGTGTGGTCAAACATTACCCTTATGCAATAACTAGCAAAGTACTAAATCATGAAATATACATTTTCAAAACAAATCCTGTATATTCCATTCACTAAATGTTATTCTCATGTCTCTTATATCATGTATATGTTGATTTTATCACTGCATGAATTATGCATGCAATTGATATTTTGAAAAAAAATAAGTAAAAACTCCAAACATACCACATCTTCTGAGCATGTCTTGCAGTATCGAATTCTGTAGGCCTGAGCTAGGTGGTTAAGATACTTGAAGTTTGTGTCGTAAGGCAGAGAGTAATCTTGGAATTTCTTCATCTTTTTCCGCAACACATTCATGGACACCCTTCTCTGCAGACTGTGACGTAATGTATCATTTCTTCTCAGGGGCTGGCCACGTTGTGGAGTGAAGACTGATTTATCAATTTGTTTTGGTGGCTTCCATGACGTACTTTGGGGAGAGATGTTTTCAGCATCCTCATCATTCTTCAAAAAAAAAAAATTTACAAAACATGCAAAAACCAACATTAACAAAAAATTTTACAAAAAAAACCCCAATGAAATGGTTAGACGAGGATCTTGACTTATAGTCGTGTAAAGAAATAACTAAAATTTTTAAAGTAAACTATGCCTTCACACTTTAGAACCATGACCATAATCGTGATAATGATAAATGATGACTCATTGATCATGCTGATTGACCATTGACCAACATCATGAATGATACAAAAACATTTTTTTTTTTTAATCTGTATTCGAATTATCCTTTTTTCTGAAAGACTTTTCTACGTTTTTATAATATAAAACTCCACACATAAAGAATTTATACCGGTTTGCTTGTCATTCGAAACCATACCTGAGCATCGTGATGGTCGAAGCGAGCAGGAAGTTGAGGGAGTTGTTTGGCATTTGGGGGAAATGGCAATGCCGATTTCGATGTTTTCTTTCTCCTCTTGAAACTAAGACCACACGTTCCGAAAACAAAAGTAAATTCATCGTTTTCCTCATCTTGAATTTCGCGCTTGCGTTTACGTGTTGGCGTATCCATCTTTTCGTTGGCGAAGACAACTCTCTAAAATTGAAAATAAACAACGTAGCGCCATCTATCAAGGTGCGAGTATAATATCAACGGCAGATAACTCTGCGTATACATGGTAAATGCGGAAAAAAAAATCTAATTTAAATATAATTTTCACTGATGGATATAATTAAACAATTTTAATTTTATCTTTAAAAATATTTATGTAAATGTTTCGTTTCATCATTAATAATGAATTTAATAAGATGAACCAGTTAAATTAAAGAAAAATAATTAAAAATCAGAATTAAATTAAATTACTTTAAATCATAAATCAAACCTCTGCATTCAGGTGATTATAAGTTCATATGATTATATTTCTATAAATTTGGTTGTTTAAATATTCCTTGTTTTCTGTTTGATTAATGTGTTTTTGATTCCAGGTATTTTCTTCAAAGAGCCACTTCCCTGGAGCTAATTTTAATGTTCTGAATTCTGAACATTAGACTGGTTTAAAGAACATGCTTTTCTTTGATCTTAAAATTGAAAAATAAAAATTTACAGAACTTTTTTCCACCTGCTAGGAAATTTATTTAACTTTTGAATATATTTTCAAAATTTATTTAAAAATGGAATAAAAAGTAATGAATATTTGAAATAAAATTTATGGTAATTATACTACCATATAAATCAAAATAGAATATATTTTAAATTTTAAATCATGATTTAATTCTCAAGCATTTAATTCTCTACTCTTTTTTCACATAAAAAATTACAACAGTTAATTCATTTAAAAAAAAATATATATATGAAAAAAAAAAACTTTAAAAAACATAAAAAATTATATCATTAGTTCATTATTAGCATATAAATTTAATTAGGTCAGTAGAACATCAGCTTCTAGTGTAACAGAAGATTAATTTTTCACCCTAAACATCAAGGGACTAGCAATAACTCTGATTGATTGAGAGAAAATAGTGGGCTATTCACCTATAGATAAATCAATTATTCAGTAAACTCATCTCTCTCTCCCTTTCTCCTCTCTCTCTCTCTCCTCTATATAGGAGGGTACAAAGCTTTTATGAATTTCACCCATCTTGTCAATTTCTGACCAAGAAATTTGATGTCATATATTTCATAAACAAAGGTTAGGGATAACTGGTGTTGCATTTAGATTGTGAAGACCACAAAGCATATAAGGAGAATTGGATACAAGAAGGCCTAACGGCAGGTAACAGATGGGATGATTTTGCATTCACACCTGCTGCAACATTATTGACTTCTTTTCTGCATGGTCTTATCCTGCTCGATGATCCATGGTCATAGGATGAGTAAGATTTTGTTTTTAGATTTTGGGAGAAATTATGTTAGGAAAGCTATTAATTCTTTTTCCTTGAGTTTATGAAATATGGAATTTTTCAAAGAAGTTCAGGTAAGTCTAAAAATTATGTAATCTATATAATGTGCAACAAATGTTTCTCAGTTTATAGTAGACAATGTTTTCAGGCAATAAGCTTTAAAATCCATCACATTGAGAACTATTTGCATAATACATAGATCTGTCAATAACTGATTCTTTAGTTAAGATTAATTTTGAGCTTTAGAGCTCAGATTGTGTGATAGCGCACCTGGAAAATGGCGAAACAGAAATGTTATTAGGGAGATATTCAACACAAAATGTATGGACAAAGCTATTAAGTTGTTAACTTTCCAGGACCTTATTAAAGGTGTCATATGAAACTTTCCAGGCATTGAACCATATTATTCGATTAGAAAACCATTCAGAAACACTGCCTTTTGAGCCATTTTGCCAATTCTTCAGACATTATTTCTATTTTACAGGCAAGATCCAGAGGTACCAGTTCATAATACGAAGATGGAAAATGAAGTGAATGATCTAGACTACTTGAATGACATCATCCCTTATAGGTGTCCGAAGTGTAGAGATGAGAGGAAATTTTCCTCCCTCTCCGATTTACGTCTCCATTTGGAGAAAAATCATTCTTATCAAGTGGGATATGTAAGACCTCACACAAGGACACAGGTCTTCGATGCCAAATCTGTAAAAACTAAACAAAACACCTCTATCAATAATAAGGGATTTCTGAGAGAGGAGCCACCTTCTTCCAAGAGTGGATCCTTAGATGGAAGATCTTCCCCTCTGCTTCAGAGCTTCAAGGAAGATGCCAGGATACTTGAGAGTGAACTCCAAGCAGCCAAGGAAGCTGAAAGGAGGAACAAAATGAGACTGAAGAATGGCGAGAGGGAGAAAATGGATGAATCGGGCACGATCCATAATTTACATCACAAGTTAATGTCGTCTAGAAGTCGGCAATGGAGGGCTGAGGAGGCTTTGTATAATATTGACAGTGTCCTGGAAAATCTAGAAAAGTCTGCCGAGAAGCGATTCCAAGATCAGAGAGGAGTTATCAATGATCTTGTCTCAAATCTAGACAACAGGGAAGAGCAGTTAAGTCAGGCTAACACAACACTTCAATGTTTGCAGAGAGAACGACAGAAATTAATGAGAGAAACACAAGAGATGCTTCAACAAAGTGAGATCAAAAATGAGAGGCTTGTATTGGAACTTGAGAGAAGGGATGATGTTTTACACTCCGTGGAGGGCCAATTAAAGGCCCTGAGGGCCAAAACTGAGGAGAGCATCAGACGGAAAGACAATGAGCTGTTAGTGACAAAGGATCGTGTTCATCAACTGGAATTGGATAAGGAGACTTTGGTGAGGGATGTTGAGGAGTTATTGACGGCAACTGATAGAGACAATACAATGTTAAAACAAACACTTGATTCCAAAGAGAGGCAGCTCAGACTGGTCAATAATGAACTGCTTAAAATCAGGTGAAGAATTTTATTGTTCTTATCTACTTTCATTCATTTTCTTATCTGGAGTATTTTTCAGTTGAAATTTGTTTTGATATTTAGAATGTGGCTATTTTCAAGGGGAATAACTCTTTTGAATACTGTAGAACTGCTTTTTTTTTCCCAGTGAGGTTTAATTTATGCAATGTACATGCATGGTATTAATTTTTATGTGGAAATTTGTCCCATTGTACTTAAAGTTCATATAAGGCATATATAAGTGGCAATCTAAGAAATCAACAATATAATTTTTTCCTTATAAATTTAATAGAAATTTTGATATAATCTGAAGAATTATGCCCCTTGAAAGACTACATTTACTGTATCTTTGAGAAAGACATTCTTTCTTAGAACTGAGCAGTCTGACTTAATGGATGAGAGTATGAAGCTGTATGAAGCAGCAGAGAGGGGAAATCAGAAATTAGAGAAAGTCATACAAAGCAAGGACAGTAAGCTTCACCAGGCTGAGAGTGAACTCTTCAGGATAAAGAAGGTAGGAGAAACAAGATAAGGCTAGTCAAATGTATGCCCTGTATACGTAGATCACAGGAAAAACCCCAGTTGAACCAGGAATTTAAAAAATAAATAAATGAATTTAAACAATTATCATCCCATCCCCAAAAAGTAATGTCTGAATAAAATTATGAAAACTGAGCAAACTACTTATGATTTTAACTTGTGAGTTACAAAGGTAGACCTAGATTTTTTTCATATGGTTACAAAATCTATTCACTAAGAAACACACATCTTCATAGGTGCAAGAGAATTTAGTGAGTGAATCCCAGCTTCTGACAGAACAAGCTGACAGTCACAGCCAGGCCATGAGGAGGGTCCTAATAGAGAAAGAGGGGGTCATCTCCTCCATAAAGCAGGAACTGGGGAGGGTGACAGCAGAGAGGGACAAGCTACTGCAGACAGTAAAGCAAGCGCCTGTCAAAGTCCAGGCCTCAGAAGGAAATAATAGGACTGAGGCTCTCAGCTCTCTAAACAGGAATGGGACAATTAAGGATCATGAACAGGAGGTGCATAATCAAGGGGATATAACTCTTCAGAATTCTGATGAACACATTCAAAGGGACATAACTCCAGCACAACATGTAAATAATTTAGAATTAAGCAAACTACAATCTGTACTTGAGGAGAGGCAAGTTCATTTGGAAGAAAAAGAGAGGTAAGTCACACTTTTTAGCCTGACTGGCTTCTAGTATTTTTTTCTAGCTCAGATTGTAAAAAATACATTCTAAAGTATAAAAGCTTATTTCATATTAAAAAAAATAATCTTTAACAATAAAATGTGTAATGTGATCAAGATCTTTTAAAATGCTTTATCCCTGAATCCAGGGAGCTGGAATCCTTAAAGAAGTTTATCAACACTACTGCAGAGAAAGAGACAGTAGCTCGTAAGAAGCTGGAGGAGTTTATCAGTGAGCTGATTGATCGAGCTGACCGAGCTGAGAGGGAGCTGGACATGATGAGGAGAGAGGCCAGGAAAACCACCCACCAATCAGCTGATGTACCAGAGAGGGTAAATACCACTGGGGCCAGAAGCAGACTTTGATCTTACGTTATCACTTCAAATACTAAATTTGTTTTTGTATGCATATATAGTAATTACGTAAAAATCAAATATATAGAGAATAATACATACCCTTTTCCATATCACATCCTGTCAAAGTCCAGGCCTCAGAGAGGGGAAAGGGCTGATATTGGTCGAGGGCTGATACAGGACCCTGTGGAAAAGGGTATGTTTTATTATATTTATTACATACTTAGTAATAAAATACAGAACACATTCAGTTGAGAAGAAAATAAGTAAATAATCATGCATGTACACAGTTTAATGTTTCATACGATTTGGGTTTGTTTCTACTTCTATTTCAATGCACTTGATATATTATTTGAAAATAATCTATAGTATTACATGTATTTGTAAATTAAGATTAACCTTATTTTCAAAAAGTTAAAATTAAGAGAATATGAACCCACCAAAAATTGTGTATGATCACAAGTACTGTTATTGTGGTTTAATTTACTAAGGGTGTGATTTTCACAATTATCAGCCCTGCAGGGCTGATATGGATTTGCAGGGCTGATACATATCAGCCCCGCAAATATATCAGCCCTGCAGGGCTTATAAAAGCCATATCGCATATGCAAAAAACCTGTATTTATTACTAAGTGTGTAATAAAGAATGTTACTGATCCCTGTGGTAAATACATGTTCATGATCTGTTTGTTGACATGCATTTCTCCAGTTAGTGCCAATGTTTTGTATATTTATATCATACTAGTGTTAGTGTATGCTATGCTGTTAAAATATCAAATATTTTCGTTTTAAAAGCATGACAGTTTGCTTGATAGGGCGTGCTAAAATTTTGTATGCTGATTATCATTCTTTCATCGATTGGATGTTTGATTTCAATAGAATCAATAATACTTTGCATATGAAACACAGAACACAGCAATACCACTGATAATAGTGACCAATCGTGTTGAATAAACAACAATTACATGTGAACAGACAAAGCAAGTTTTACTTCCTATAATGATGATATTGATAGAGTTAGGTACATAGTACAACAGAAGAAGAGTAGCCTTACTAATTCCATTCTTCAAATTTTCTTATACTTATTCAAAAACCCACCCGGTCAAATCACAACAAATATAAATACATGCTTTTTTTAAAACAGGAAACGAAACGAGCTTCGACTGACCACGTGTTGCTGGTGACTACAAAATACAAATGCCTTACTGGTAAACAACCCTTCAATATGATTGGCCAGTATTATCAGGGATTGTTGTATTCTGAGTTTCATATGCAAATTAGTATTGATTTCATTGATCCAATTGATGAGTAAAATGATAACCTGCACACAACGTTTTAGCAGGCCCCATCATTGAGCAAATTGTCACGCTGTTTGTAAAATGATAATACTTTTACGTATTTCTGAAGTCAGCAAGTTGCAATGTTAAACAAATGTTCCATTTTTTAGGATGTTCAGATTGTAATAGAAAATCAAAGACAGCAGCATTCTAGGTAAGAAATGGATAATTTCTCTCTATATTACACTCCGACAATGAAGATGCTGCAGAGAGTACTTCTACAATCTCTTTAATCTAATATTGATTTTACACTTTTTGATGAAACTCATGGATAAGATATAATGCAAAATCTTTCAGAATGCCTAAATCCAATCAAATAACAGCAAACTCTACACTTGGATCATCAACTGTACACTCCTCTCTGGCCAGACATCTTGTTGAGGCTACAGTTGAACCCTGGCAGAAATCCTTCACAGCACCAGCATCCAATCACAGCAAAGAACATCTATATCAGAGAGATTCTGAAAATACCACTGAAGAAGATATCAAACCTGTAGCTCAAAGAAATAGCAGGAAGCCAGTCCCAAAAAGAAGAAACAGAGCACATCAGCCAAAGGAATCAGAATCTTTTAGAGCATTACAACACCAGTCCTCTAATGACACAGGAGTTATGTCCCCTGATGAAGATTCTACAGAGTACTCTCCCTTGCCAACTGCAAAGTTTCCAGACAGGAGACAACAGTTTCAGAGAGCTGATTCTAACCAATCCTATGTTTCACAGAGACATGGTTGGATGGATCCGGATTCTGTTTTGTACAGTGAGGTCATGGATGACTCCGAGTTGGAGAAAATCAGTGTGGAATCTTTTAACAAGCTTCCAGATGAACTTCACCAAATCTGTGGAAGTGATCCAAAAGTGGTTTACATACCTTTTAACAGAAAGACAGGTCAACCCATCAAAATGGAGCCACACCGAGAAACTAAAAGTGATCTTGTGGGTAGACACAGAATGTGTTCACACACCCCTAGATAATTCACTGTGGTAGCTTGTTTTGGTTTCACATGCACAACATCTTTATTATGGGTAGGGTTTGAGTTTATTTTCTTTTTTTATTTTTGTTATCACATAATGTTTTTCCTAATTTGGAAATGCTTGTAATTTAAAAGATTTATGTGGCTTATTATAGATAATTTATCAATACACTGGTAACTGGTGCATGCTCAAACTTTTGCATGGTTTTATGAGTCACAATTTCAAAATTAAGTTTTAAACTTAGCTAATAGTATTGAATCATTAAAATTGTGGGAGCCAATCTTCATAGATTGCTTAAATTTTACAGGTTTGTGGTGATGTAATTTTGTACATGTATATTCTCTTGTATGTAAAGAAATATAACTTTGTAACCTTCATTTATTAATTCATGAAAGATTTTAATTTTTGGAGAAGAGGTACCCACAAAGTCCGCAAAAATTGAGCCAAGTACCACAAAATCTTATGATTCCACAGAAAACCAGTACTTTGTTAGCCTACAAAAATTCAACAAAGAACAAATTTAACAAAGAAATTTAGTTTTCTTTAATGTTTCAGAATACCCAAGAAAACCCTGATCAAAATCAATCCACGAATCAGCTTACCCAAAAGACCCTAAGCCAAGAAAAAACCCATGAAGAACAGACCTCTGACACTTATACAACAAGTCACACTGAATTCAAAGAAATTCAGCCAAGACAAAAGCTTAATTGTCAGAAAGAACCTAGTAGCTCTAAAGATAAACATAACAGAAAAACAAAATCCAAGAATACTTCTACAAAATCATCTAATCCTGGGAGTCATCCAAAGCAAAGAACTAGGGAGAATAGTAAGGAGAAAGTGACCATGAAGAGCATTGGGGTGATGGCTGACATACCATCGTTCCAAGGTTCGTCTATGATGCATGAGTATATTTAGATGGCTAGTATTATAGAAAAGAGAATAATTCTAAAAATTATGATGTATTCCTTGATTTTTAGGTACCAGTACAGAGTCAGAATCGTGTGAAGAAATGGAAATGGCTGATAATTCACTTTCTGATGTCAACTCATTTTCAGAAGACTGTAAGTGATTATTTTTATACAATGTATAGAATTCATAGATTGCAGATCAAGCTTTATTAAATTGAATTGCTATCACTGACATCAGTACTATAAATTATAATTATACTTGAACTAATCTGACACTGTAAACAATTTCATTGTGAATCCCAACCTTTATTTTCATTCCCATTTTGTTTCCATATGGGTGAAAAATTCTCCAGAGAGATGTTAAACAACATACAATCAATCAATCATTCCCATTTTACTAGTGCATGTAAATAGGTTTCACTGAATTTACATAAAAAATTAAAGAAATGAATATTAAATATTGCAGATCCCATGGAAAAACAGGATTCATTTGAGAAAGAAGTTGATGAAAATGGTATTATATGGGGCCTAGATGAACAATCCCACAATTCACTTATGGAATCCAGAAGATTTAGTCCATATGGGAGTGAAATGAAGAGTTCCTCAACTCAAGGGGGAGCACTCTTGGATGAGTCTGATTCGCTGGATGACATTCCTGTGAGAGATCAAACCAATAGAAATGGGGGATACCACTCAGAAGAAAATGAAAATGCAGAATTAAGCAGTGTCTCTTTCCACACATACCCACCAGGTAGAAAGCAAGTGAACTTTCAGACAATTTCTGGACACAGTGATCCCACACATTATGGGGGTTTCAAAAGGTCACACAAACACAGGTTCAATCCTAAGAATAGAGGTTATGATATTCTTGCCAATGATACAGATGAAGATGATTATTATGAAGACATTCAAAGATGGAAAGACTTGACAGCTGATGTAAACACAGATCTTCAGAGAGAGATGGCAGTGTCTTTTCCTAGGCTTCCAATTTTTTCCAGAGTAGGAAGACCTGAAAATCCAAAATGGCATTCAAGACAATCATCCACCAGATTACCAATGTCTACCAGATCAGACACATTTCTTAGTCAACAGAACTATTCAAGACAAAGAGAGGGTCATCCAGAATATTCATTACATTCTGTTCTACCCTTTGGGGAACCACCACAAAGAACAATGTCTTCACCAGGGCTGTATAAGAGGTACATTACAAATGAAGACATTCCACGTTTTCATAGAAATTTCCATTCACCCATTTCTTTGTCTTGGGGACCATCCTTCCAGAGAGAAAGATTCACCAGAAATGTTGGAAATAGGCTAAGTTCTAGTTTATCTAACCTAAACCAAAGAGCAGCTTCAGAACTTTATCCCAGAACTTCTGTCTGCAAGGATTCTACTACACAAACATGGTTGCTTGATAGACAGCTTACAGAAAATGATCTTCATTATATGAAGGAAATTTCTAGCTCTGTTTCCTCTTCTGATAAAACTTCTGCTAGAAATTCACATTTTGGTAGTCAAACACATACCTCTAATCAGAAATCAGAGTCTGTTGCTTCTTATTCAGTTGGGGAACAAAGCAGCAAAAGATCTACTCTGTTTGATGGCAACTCCTCTCCATCATTACCAAATGAAGACAAAATTAATAAGCAGCAAGAAGAGAATAGTGGGAGATCTGGGAAAGGCAATGTTAACACACTTCAAGGGGCTCACAGTTCTTCATCTTCTGACATTTCCAAAGATAGAGGGACCCCAAATGCTAACATTTCCAAAGAAAGACAATCTTCAAATACTGATAACTGTTTGCACACCCCTTCAGCATCTATATCCAGCAAGTCACACACTAGTATTGATGCTTTAGCTCAACAGCCTCCTGAGAGATTAAAACTTGGTTCAGAAAAGACTGAAAGTAAAATAAAAATAAAAGATGAAACTGATATAAATGACAGTCAAAAAACATACAACTCCAATACCAGTGGAGAATTGTCATGTACAAAGTCAGGTAAAAATGCAAGCACAGTAGACAATGATTTAGATCAAAGTCTCATTAATAGAAGATCAATGGTTGATGAAGAGACAAAGCTATTGGCAAAAAGTTTGACAGAAGATGAATTGAGTAACCAATCTTGGAACAGTATACAAACTTCTGAATCAAATAGTGATGCAAATGATTCAAAACATCTTGCCAAGAATTCCAGTGACTGTGAACAAAGAAAGATGTCATTTTCAGATTTTTCTGAATCAGACCATAGCAAAATTGGCAAAAGTGATGACAAACAGGGTCATTCTCAGTCATCCTCTTCCATAAGTCATTCCAAGTCTGAAGCTAATCCACCCAGTTATCATGGGAAATCTTACAGTAAAGAAGAAGTTTTGTCAAACAAGAATAGTGTTCAGTCAAGAAGTGCTACACCAAATTCCAAAAGTATGAAATGCAAAGAAAATAGTTCTCAGAGCTTAGAAAATAAGCAAAGGTTATCAAATAATACAGAAACATTTTGTGATCCTGATGCCATCAGTTTTTCACATGAAATCAAACATTCTAGTGACCATACAGAAGAAGCAGACGACACCTCAGCTATGACAGACCTCAGCATTGATTCCCATGTTGCTGACATAAGCAACCAGAGCTCTAACTTCAGCAATTTCTTCAAGAACAGCTCATCTGAAAAAGAAAAGGGAGAAAAGGTGGATGATCCCGATAAAGACTTGGATAGCCTTGAAGAACCATTGGGATATCTTCAAAAAGATGAGGCAGTTGGTAAAGAGACTTCAGAAAAGGAATATCAGAGAGATTTGGAGCAGAGCACAAGATGGCATCTCCAACATCAGACTTTGAACCCTTCTCCATTGCCTTTGAAGCCAAAGCCCCTGATTTCTCTGAGCCCCAGGAAACAGAAGATGAGGATGATTTATCCACACTGGACAGCTGTAGTGTAACCATCAGCAGCTCTGAAGGTAAAAATGCAAAATAAATACCAGTTGACATTCAGATAATACACATATACAATTTGACAGTATGAAAAAGTACCGGCTTGTCTAGAAAACATAAGCCTTATGATAAGGGAAATTACTTCATTGTTGAACTTTTAATGATTTTATGGAACTTCATCTCATTTTGCTCTATGAATCAATTGCAAAAGAATTTCCCAGATAAATTTCAAATCTTTTAAACATTGAAACACTTACTGATATTTTTTTATACAGGAAGCAGAGTGTTGACAAACCACAGGGAGGAAACCAGAAGGAGGAGACGGGCCCTACAGAACATTTTTGGATTCCTGGACACGGAATCTCTCCTGGTGGTGGCTCAGGTCTGTAGAGAATGGAAAAAGGTCAGTCGCAACCGGTCACTATGGAAACGGGTGGTTCTGGAAAACAGGAAGTGTTCATCCAAGGTATGCAAGGCATCCGAATTCAGTCATCTTTCATAACTTGAACACAGGAGAACTGTCAAAAAACTTGTGAACTTGAATTTATAATTATTGACTCTCATAATATTTTGAATTTATGTATTTTTCTTTTCTAAATTCAGTTTCTCATCAGTTTATCAAACTGGTGTAGCTCCATGGAACAACTGACTTTGAGGAGTAAGTTCATTCTATGTAACTTTATCTGATATTTATGAATTCTTGATTTTCATTACCCTCAGTATTGTTCATTCTTTTCTACACTCTTGGCAGATCTTTCTCCAAGAAATCAATGGCAAACAGAAGCAGATGATGTTTATCAGAGTTCCATCAGGTAAAGAAATGTAAAATTCTTCATTGTGACCTTTGATAAAACAGTAAGACTTGTCTAATCTGGTTCCAAAGAAATTGGCTGGATTAAGCAATATTCCGGATTAGTTAACATTTTGAACAGTTGAAACAACTGAAAGGGACTAAAAGTTTCCATAGTATTAGACAAGATTTCTGAATATACCAAATCCAAATCAGTCAAATTTCACTGTAAAAATATGTACTTTCTCCTGGTATGGTGAAAAAGTACTATGATGAGATTTCAATTTATAATGTCCATTATTTTGTTCATGATCAGAGGGAGTTTAGAGCCAGGATTAGAGCGACTTCTACAGGTGTGCGAGTCCTCTCTCAAGTCCATCTCAATAATTAGCTGTGGTGCTCTACTGACAGATAAGTAAGACATCTTCACTCTGGAGTTTTTTGACAGTCCTTTTGAGTTTGAGATATTGAGGTTTCACTGTAGACAATAGTGAAAAAAATTTTTCTAATGTTGAGTTATATTACTATTTCAGGAGTATTTGGTTGGTCAGCTGTTATAGTCGAATGCTTCAAAGCGTGGAGTACTTGTCAGATTTATTCCCCCTGGGACCTGACGTTATGTACGCCTTGGGAGCTGGGTGTGGGAATATCACAACCCTCAAGATTTCACCCATTTTTCCATGGTATCATGTACCAATTTAACAAATTTTAGATTTCTGATGCAATCTTTATTTCTGCATGAAAATTTAACCCTAATTTATTTATGCTGTTGCAGTGAAAATGAAGAAAAGTTTTCCAACAAATGCCTGCAGATTGTGTCTCAGTTTTGCTGTGACCTTGAAATTTTAAGCATTGGTGGATCCAAGATAGACATCAATGGACTTGTGCTCATTGGTAAACTGTCTGCAAATTATCTTTGTCTATTTTACTTGATTACTTTTAATGTGAATGTTCAAAATAGGTAAAAAAAAAATTAACATCAACATACATCATGTACAGTTCTATTTCACCTATACTAAGATAATTTCAAATCCTCGGATATCTAAAAGTTTTTTTCCCAGTCAAGTTTGAGAGAATTAACAAGGTTTGACTCTACATCTAATGACAGATTAGTAACAAAATCTACTATAAAGAGAGACATCAGAGAAGGAGCTATAATTAGAAATTACCATATTACAAAATCTGTGGTCCATAATAATCTTTTTTTTTTAACTATTTACATTAGCTAAGTCCTGTCAGAGACTACAGGAGCTGGAGCTCCATCACTGCCAGGAAGTGACATCAGATACAGCTGTCGCCATCTGTAGGCTGGGACTGAAACAGCTTCTGACTCTGTCATTTGTACACACACCCATCACCGCTGACGCTCTCAAGCATTTCTACAGTGGGTCAATTGTTATTACAGTGTACACAGATTCTAATTACTGTCTTAGCAAAAATATTAATTATATGTAAAATGAAATATATTGCATCCTCAATAAGATTCATCAAAAATAAAGTTACTGACAAAATTTTAACCATGAATTTTGCACAATAAATTTAATGTTGAATGTTTTATAGTAAAAAGTGTCTAATCTGACCCAATTCCCTGTGAATTCTGACAATTATTTTATTTTTATTTTACTATTTTCTAAGTACATGTACTTTCCACTTTGTAACTCATCTTCCTGTCTACAATAGCTTCAGATTGATTTTTTTAGGTCACCTGAGTAAACTGAGGTGACCTATTGCTATCCGTTTTCGTTCGCGTCGTGCATTGTGCGTTAACATTTGAACATTTTCAGCTTCTTCTCTGCAACCACAGTGAACCAATTTCAACCAAATTTGGCACAAAGCATCTATGGGTGAAGGGGAACAAAAATTATGAATTTCATGATCCCTGCCCCCCCCTGGGGCCTGAGGGGTGGGGCCAAAACCACTAAAATTAATGCAGTCTTTAAAAATCTTCTTCTTTACTCCTGGACATCAAGCAGTCAAACTGTTTGCATGATTGTAATCAGCAATGAGTCCTCTACCAAAATTGTGTAATTCATGGCCCTGGGGTCAGGGGTTCTAGTGCTAGGGCGGGGCTAAATAAATAGGTAGTGAAAATGCATTATAAATAAACTAACTAAGTGCATAGTTATGATGAGCAAGAGTGCCTCTACCAAAATTGTGAATTTTATGGCCCCAGGGTCAGGGGTTTTGGTGTTAGGGTGGGACTCTATTGATTATATCGTGAAAATACATGAATTCTTTGAAAATCTTCTTCTCTGCTCCTGGGTATAAAATAAACTAACTAAGTGCATAGTTATGATGAGCAAGAGTGCCTCTTCCAAAATTATGAATGTTATGGCCCAAGGGTCAGGGGTTCTGGTGTTAGGGCGGGGCTCTATAGATTACATGTATAAAGTGAAAATACATGAATTCTTTGAAAATCTTCTTCTCTGCTCCTAGGTATTAAATAAACTAACTAAGGGCATAGTTATGATGAGCAAGAGTGCCTCTACCAAAATTATGAATTTTATGGCCCCAGGGCCAGGGGTTCTGGAGTTAGGACGGGGCTATATAGATTATATAGTGAAAATACATGAATTCTTTGAAAATCTTCTTCTCTGCTCCTGGGTATTAAATAAACTAACTAAGTGCATAGTTATGATGAGCAAGAGTGCCTCTACCAGAATTAGGAATTTTATGGCCCCAGGGTCAGAGGTTTTGGTGTTAGGGTGGGACTCTATTGATTATATAGTGAAAATACATGAATTCTTTGAAAATCTTCTTCTCTGCTCCTAGGAATTAAATAAACTAACTAAGTACATAGTTATGATGAGCAAGAATGCCTCTTCCAAAATTGAGAATTTTATAGCCCCAGGGTCAGGGGTTCTGGTGTTAGGGCAGGACTCTATAGATTATATAGTGAAAATACGTTAAATCTTTGAAAATTTTCTTCTCTGCTCCAGGGTATTAAGCAGATGAACTACCTATATAGTTATGATGGACAAGGGCCCTAATCTTCCAGAATTGTGAATTTCAAGGCCCCAGGGTCAGGGGTACCATAGAGGGGGGGGGGCTGTACTTATATACTGAAAATGAATGAATGGTTTGAAATCTGCTCCTTGGTATTAATCAAATATCAAGGCCTAAGGGTCAGGGGTTCATGTGTGGTAGGGGCACTACTGATTATTGCTGAATATTACTGATTAGTTGAAATGCATTTTTTGTTCCCCTACCCTGCGTATGGGTATTAAGTAAACAAACAAAGCAACTGCTAAGTGTATTGTTATGATGATCAATGGTGCCTCTTTCAAAATTGTGAATGCCATAGCATCTGGATTAAAACATGAATCAAATTCAATCACTGGAAAGTTGTTGCATAATGCTCAGGTGACCTATAAGGCCCATGGGCCTCTTGTTCTGCATTACCTGACTAAATATCATAAAATTAAGTAACATAATATTTCATATTTGTTTTAAACCAAAAAAAAAAATTCTCCACTTGTATAGTAAACTCTTTTTTTCTTCATCACTAAAACCGACAGTTCAATTTTTTACCAGGGGGGATAATTCCCCTATTGATTAAGAGACATACGAAGAAAATCCACAGTGGATAAAAAAATTCAAAATTTTTCATATTAATTATTAAAAGAAACTCAATGAAATTTAAAATTTTGTCAGAATCCTGCAAGCACTTAAAGAGCCTCCATGTGGCTTTGTCAATAATGGACTTCCAAAAGGACAATTCTGAGAAAGAGGATGCCAAATTAAAGAAATGGCAGAAATTTGTCAAAGATATAAAGGTATGTTTGTATACAAGGTTACATTTGCCCTGTTTTATTCTGCCTTTTTTCAAATTTTGCCCAGTATGAAATTCACCTAAATTGGTTCTGTTGAAGAAATGATATTGTATGCTAAGTAATATTACTTGGAATTCTTTTCTTCTCCTCTAATGAGGCAAAAGGGAAAAATAAGAGGAAAAAAATTTCCAAGCACATGTAGGCCATTCAGAAAATTCCTTAAAAAAATAAAATATATTAAAGATTAACAGATTCTTAATGTTTTAAATTCTGTTTTCCTTTCAGAGCCTCGAGAAAATCCCAGGCCTTGGAAACATACTGAAACTCAAATTTACAACACACTTGAACAATGTGGACACGAACATTCAATAATATTGATATTTTTAACATTTTGATATATATTATTTTTAATATGGGACTGGAATTAATATGAAATTTCATAATTATTTTCCAATGGCATTTTTTTTAACATAAAAACTATCTATATACATCGTTCTTTGCACAAGAGTGAAATATTTATATTCCTCATATCCTTTGAAATTCTGATATATGTTGTATTTTCAAACATTTACAATGTTACCGTAAAAGCACAGAATACTATAAAACCTGGCCTGGCCCCTTTTGGCCTGGCCCATAAGTTGGACAGATCTGGCTCCAAACCAAACAGAATTCTGATCAAATGATTATAGTATTAATTAGTTTTTTATCCCTTTCTCAAAGCATGCATATTAATTCTCTTAAATAAAACAAAGAAAACAATCCATTAACGATTCAGATGCTCTTTTATTTACATAAACAGAAGACAAAAAAAATTGTTGTATATATATTTAACAGTAATTTTCACTATACATCAATCATTGTCGAATGATTACACAGATTAGGACTGTAGTTCATATAACAGGTGAAAAGGATAAATGTGTACAAGCCTGAAACCATTACTGCAGATGTGGATATTTATGGAAGCGGGTAATATATAATTTTTTTGCTAAATACTCAAAATGAGACATTCTGCATAAATAATATAAAATTTTTGTATCACATTCTTAAAACCCTTCAACTTGAGTTAAAACATCAACAACACGAAATTACTACCCACACATTATCTTTTTTATTGGATCTGTGTCTAAAATAACTAAAACAGTTCCATATTTAAAACTGCTACATAAGGTTTGTAAGTATACGCATTTTTTTCAATAGAATTTGAAATACATAAAATGTTAAATGTTTACAAGCCATGAGCATAATTTCTTCACAAATACCAGTTTGGTTACTATAATATACAATTATGTGTACTTAATTCATAAGCACCTGAAAATGCCCTTTGATAATAATACTTAGAATAAGATATTGTGTATACACTTTTAAGGCTTATAGAAAAGTGCCAGGGACAAAAAATTTTGTTAAGAATACTTGTAAATTGCTATATTGAATAAGTTTATGATATGTTCTAAAACCACCAGGGAATGAACGAATTAATCATGAGAGTATTCACTTAAATCATGTATTACTATATAAACATAACTTTGTTCTAAGCTTAAGATCACTATTTTTCATATTTGTATCCTGAGCTATGGAAATCAAAAACAATCAACAGAAATAATCTGCCAGGAAAACTAACTATGGGTCACTGCAACAAGATTTACAATCAAAATACATGAAATGCTTAGAAAAGTGTCCATATTTTACAATTAAAACAGGGAATTGATAGATTAAAATGAAGAAAGACTTGGTATATGGTATTGACAGTCCTGCTCTTTATAACTTTGATTTGGCTTTTCTGATATCTATGAATGGTTTGGGAAGGGGGTACAAACCCAAGTGCCTCTTGAAATCTGCAATATCATCCACAACAGTGGGCTGCAAGAGAAAAATATAAAGAAATCAAAATATCCTGATAAGAATTTGTTAAGATTGAATAGAATGTAAAATTTATTTTAAGGTCGTGGGTTCGATCCTTGGCCACAACAGACCGAACTAAATAACAAAAATAGCTTCCAACTGTTCATTTGCCAAGTGCTTGGCACTTTGAAGTGAAAAAGGTGTGGTATTTATTGGATGAGACCTTAAAAACAAGGCCCTTATGTCACGGCAGGCGTTGGCATGATAAAGAATGGCCCTGAGTGCCAAGTAGAGGTCTAAATTTGAAGCCTTCACAAGTATTTTATGTCTATACATGAGTGAAAAATTTATCAAACGGGACATTAAACACCATACAGTCAATCTAATATTACCTTTGGTAGATTAGGAGGTACAGGTAAGAGGTCAATTCCATTGCCATTGGTGTTTGGTTCATCTGTACTGAGTTCTTCTGTGGCTGGCGAAATGTGGATGCTGAGCTTGTGCCTTTGTGGGGCATCTACAGCTATGAAATCCTACAACACAGGCAAACAGTTACTTTAAACACCATAGTGTAAAATTTGATTGATTAAACCTGATATCTTAACACAATTACATTGAAAAAGTAAGAGATACAGCAGGTGCTACCATTTAAAGCATGTGCATATAGTTAAATGTTTAATGCTAATTTGCAGTTGTCCAATGAATTCTTGGGTAATACATTTGTAAATAATGATATGACAAAGTAAATTTGTGAAATAGGATACATAGATTTTAATGGAAAGAAAAAAGACCAAATTTTCAGCATACAAAGTTCTTTCTCAATGAAATAATCTCTTTTCATATCAATACCTTGAAAAACTTCATCAAACTGTCCTTCTTAATTGTCTTCAGACATGCAACTTCTATGTCATCTGCAACAAAAGATAAACAAATACTAAAATGCTCATACATGTACATACAGTGTATACTTAGCACAAAGGTAGTCAGTCAAGTCAAAAGTTTCCCAGAAACAAGCTGGCTACACTTGTGGGATATGTATTTCCTTTTGGTATTTTCAAAAGCCTTTTATAGGTAAACTTCATTTATTGAAACTTGAGATGTAACATCCCATTCAAAGAGGCAAACAAACTATTCCTGTAGGACCCTTCAAGTCTACTGATTCAGTTTATCTAACTGATATGACTGTATACATTATCTGAATTCCTTTTACATAGGAATGCTTTGTGATAAGTTGAATTTAGAAGAGTGGTTCTCAGTGGAAAAATGTGAAAGTCGTAAAGATGTACAGATGGATGGAAAGGAAGGATCTGAACAACAGGTGATCAGAAAAACTTTCATCAGCTTATATATAGATTAGGTGAACTAAAATTCAAACTTGCTTACTTACTTGTGCCTGCTACCCCTTCTGAGGCAAAGGCCACTTACAAGATTCCTCCAGGACCCTCTATCATGTGCAATGCTTTCTATTTATCTAAACTTCTTAAATTCAAACTACATGTATGTACAAAAAAATGTCAAACATAGAAATACGTCTAATTTATACCTCTGTCAAAGTTGTATGTGTTGGACAGTATCTCTGACCAGTATTTAGTGTTCTGTCCGTTGATCTTCTTTGGTTTGTCCATTCGTTTAGTGACCAGGGCATTGACGTGTTTGTTATATTCCTCCTCACTCATGTTTTGGATAACGGTCTTCAAGAAAAAAATGTCCGAAATTAGTTTGAAAGAATGATTGAAATAAATGATGGAAAGAAAATTATAAGATTGTGATGAAGATTGTACATGTATTTACATGTATTTTAAAGAGTCAATTTCCAGTGATTTTTTACCCTCTTGAAATTCTTTCATGATAAGATAAAAAATAAAGAATTCAAATTTAATAAATCAAACATGGAATAAAAGACTGGATTACATGTAATTGCTGCATTGTCTATATGTGCTTAGTTTTGAATAAATTATGTAAAAAAAAGAAAGCATAAACATATTTGTCCACAACAAAATATTGTCTGTGGAGACTTCAATTTTATAACAACATAATGAGGTTGAACAGAAATTTTCTGTTAAAAGACACTTACATCCATGTGGTTTAAAAAGGCTTCCACCCTGTCATCCACATACTGTGGCGGTCTGTCTGATTGAATTATAACCCGTAGACCTTGGACTCCACGAGCTCTCCGTACACCACTGAACACAATGTAACCTGTTGTGAAAATGCGATGGCATTCAATGTACAATATTCAATACAGAGTAAACGTTTTTTTCACAGCATTACTTCAACAAAAGATCAAATGTTATTGGGTTTTATTTTAAAAATTTTCATCATAATATTGAAGAGTGACTTAGCCCTGTGTTTCTGAGAGACAGAGCTTTTCTGGTTTTCATATGTTTAGATTGATTCTTAAGCTCTGTAATTTTACTGATTTTTTTAACTATTGTGGAATTTATTTAAATTCGTGGGGGCCAATGTTCATGGGTAAGCAAACTTTTGTTGGTTCGTAGGGACATAATTTCGTGGGTAACTCATATCTACAGAAGATTCAATAGATAAATATGTATATAAAATAAATGTTCTTGGGGATGTAAATTCGTGGATAAGGGTGACCCACGAAATCCACAAACATTGGTCCCCCGCGAACATTGATGATTCTACAGTATCACTCTTACCTAATTGTTCCTTTGTTCTGAGGATGTCGAAGCAGGGTTCCCCCACGATCTGTACCAGTAGCTCCAGTAACATATTGGGCAGTGTGTCCTGCATGCCACACTGATAATAAATGGCTATAGAGCTGCTCTTATGTACTTTGTTGTCTGTGTGATATAGGTAATAACAACCTACAAGGAGACACAGTTAATGTAAATTGTAAGAAATCATTCATCCACTGAATTCCACTGCAAAAAAATAATTATCATAAAAGTATAAAGTTTATCTACATGTTAACAAACTAAATCAGTATTGTAATTTCGTATTTCCTCCTTATATCAGCTTCTTTCCCTCTTTTTTTTTTTTTAAATTCAAATAAATATTTTGGACTACTGTCAATGTGCATGTTTTGCAAATATAATGTTTTATACAAAGAAATACTGACCATCTGGAATCTGGACTTCTCTGTATCTCTTGTACTGACTTGGTAACAACTCTCTGGTACCACACTTTTCTGACAGAATTTTCTCTGTCATATCTATGATGTCTTTGGATTGCTACAATAAAAAAATTTTTCATACATTTCGAATTCTTAACAAAAACTGTATTAAAACTGTTATTTTTACAGTAAAACATAGTTAAAAGAACACACTTCTAATGAATTGATACTTATAGCGAGGTGATTTTTATTTCCCATGACTTTAATATAAGGATAAAATAAATATACGGTCAAAACAAAGCTAAATCATACATCCTTGGCACTTTGTAATAAGAATGTTTTTACTGTATTTAGAAGTCTCTTTGCGTGACTGACCTGCTTTGTCACATTGCCGTAGATTAAGGCTTCAATGAATAACTGGGACAACAGCTCTGGTATAAAGGCCTGCAATTTCTCCACTGTCACATCTGAAAAATTGTTATCAGCAATACAGTTCCATAAATATTTTCAAAAAATTAAGAAATTAAAACAAAGTTGAAAGAACAACAGAAATATGATTGTAGTGTAAAATTGCTGTTTTTGATCTAATTATATTATACAATATTTTCACATCAATTGAAAATGTCATAAAAACAAGAGGCCCAGGGGCCACATCGCTCACCTGAGCAAATCGGGTAGGAAAAAGCACAAATCAGATCATAACTGAAAAGTTTACTGAAGGGGGAGGGGGAGGGGGGGGGGGGGGGGGGCGCTTGAATTTTAATACTACTTGAGAATGCCTTCATATTAATACAGGATATAGCTTTGCTTTTCTTGATAAAAAGATTTGTTTAAAAACATTTTCTTCCTATATATAACTTCATAAAAATTTGAATTTGATTCCCCATTGTTTCCGTCCCTAACCCAAAGGGCCATGATTTGAATAATTTAAATCTTCAATACATGAGGATGCTTACATATCAATATGACTAAACAAAGCTTTTCTGTTCTTGGGATTTTTCCCTTTAATTGGCTTTATTTTTCTTCACTACCCGAAAATGCTTCCATGTAAATACTACTATCACTAATCATGGCTTTGCTATTCTTGAGAAGGAGATTTTTTTAAATATATTTTTATGAATGTAAAACTTGGATCCCCAATTGCAACCACACCCAATCCCTGGAAGTTATGATTTGAACAAACTTGAATCTACACTACATGAGGATGATTCCATATAAATATCACTTATCATGGCTTTGAAGTACTTGAGAAGAAGATTTTAAAAGATTTCCCTAAATATTCCAATATAAAACTTTGATCAGCCATTTTGGCCCCACCCTACCCCCGGGGGTCATGATTTGAATAAATTTGAATCTACACTACCTAAGGATGATTCCACATGAGTTTCATCTTTCTTGGCCCAGTGGTTCTTGAGAAGAAGATTTTTTAAAAATGCCATTAATTTTTCACTAATTCATAATTATCTCCCCTTGGAAGAGGGTATGGCCCTTCATTTGAATAAACTGGAATCCCCTTCACCTAAGTATACTTTGTGGCAAGTTTGGTTAAAATTGGCCCAGTGGTTCTTGAGAAGAAGATGAAAATGTGAAAAGTTTATGACGACAACAACGACGACAACAGACAACGGACAAATTTTGATCAGAAAAGCTCACTTGAGCCTTTGGCTCAGGTGAGCTAATAAAGATATAAAAGAGGAATGTTAATAAATCTGTAATGAAAAGTTCTATGTAGAGTTTTAAAAAATTCTGAAAGTTCAATGATTGTGGCTTATTCAACCCCCCCCCCCCAAGAAAAATGGGGGGATCTTGATTTGAAATCACTAAGGTATCTGAAGATACCATTGAGCACTTTGAGAGCTATCTCTACAATAAATACAATATGTGTATAGTAATTTGGAGGCGACCTTTCTGTGACCTAATTTTACTTTTGTGACCTAATTTTACCTGCGGCAGACTGCAGTAGCTCAGCCTTGGTCCACTGAATCTCAGCCATCAGATTATTGGTGTAGTAGACAGAATGTTGATAGGGTTCCTCAGCAAAGAAATTACGGAGCCCTCTTATATACTGTGGAGAAAAACACAAGAGTAAGGGACACAAGTCCTCCAAATATGTGTTTAAAATAAGTTACCTTTATCTTTCTAAAGGCAAATTGAGCATAAATTTATTATAAACTTAAATACAATTGTACACTATGTGAAATTTAATCTAAAATGCAAATTATACAAATTTTAACCTTAAATGCAAATTATATAAACTTTAACCTTATATGCAAATAATGTGAACTTTAACCTTCAATGGTAATGCACAATATTTGTACATTCTTCTAATCATAATGAATCAGATATCTGGGTTTTTATCAAATTCTAAGGTAACTGAAATCCATTATTTGTTTCTTTTTCAAACTTATTGTATATTTTTACCATTTCTTTATGAATTTCAAATCTCTTTGGATCCACTTTGAAGTCAGTGAGTTTCTCCAAGATCTTCCTCAGAAGAATGGGCTGTTTTTCATGGTAACCTTTCACTTGAAGCTGAAAAGGAGTACAATATTGTTTATGAGTTTATTACTATGTTCCAGTCTGTATTCACATTTTTGTCTTTTAATACTGTAAATCTCTCTTTTTTTGGGAGAACTTTATTTTCACATAATTACGCAAAACAATGTACTTACAAAAAATTTGATTCTTGCTTATATTAGTATTCCTTGACATTAAATTGAGCAAGGACCACATTTCGTGAAATTTTTGACCCACTAATAAGGAGTAAATGACCATCTTGCTAAAATAAGGTGTCGCAAAATTAAGTGATCTACAGTACGCTGTACTTACCACCATGCCCCATATTGTACTCATTAAGTCGTAACTTAATCCCGCCAGCTCAGCGTCGTAGGCGTACTCATTAAGGGCGTCCTTAAATAGCTCGGTGAACAAGGCGGACATGTTGGCATGTAGAGGGTCAATGTATGCAATGGGACTGAAATATGCAATATGTAACTTTAAAATTTATTTACTTTTGATGCAAAGGCTAAGGATACGAAAAAAAAGTATTTAAAAAATTGCTAACTAGGGAAAAGACCAACATAAACAACATCTGATACAATATTAATTATGAAATGTTAAAAGCGAGAGAGCAATTAAACAAAAAGAAGAAGAAGCATAAAGTACACATATAAAAATTTTTTTTGATTTATTCAATGTTTTTTTTTGACATTGATATTTTACCTTAAGAAACAGAGGGGAAAAAAATTTTTTTAAGATTTTACCTTGAAATGTCAAAGTTTATACAAGCTTTGGGCAGTAGGAATTTATCATCCTGTCTGAACCATAGCCTGGTCAGACCAGTTTCTTTAACCATCTCTGGCAAAGGAGAACACTATAAGAAAAAAAATTAGATATGTGAGGCATATAGGTACGTTTTTTACCTGAGTTTTCGGTCTACAGCACTAATGTTTGAGGTTTGATGACCACACTTTAACGTTTAATAAGCTTTTTTTTTTTTCATTAACTTACATCTTTTTCTCTAGGCACAAGATCAAAATTTGTTGGAATGAACTCATTTCTGGGTGGCAAATGAAGATTTTCACCTAATCCACAATTCTTCCATTTCTGTGAATACAAAAGATATGGCAACATTTAGAATTTTATCAGTTTCATATCTTGAACCTGCCTGATCGAATGACCTATGATCAAGGTCTTGACACACCTTTAGGTCATGGCAATCTTTGTGTTGAAAATTGAGAACCAGATACAAATTTTAACACTTTTTGTAGATGTAAAGTTGAACTTGGTGAAATGATGTACATATTTTGGTTTAAGGTTATGACACTACAGTAAAATTTGTCTAATCCGGACTCTGTGTACTCCGGATTTTTGTCCATTCCGTCTATAAATTTTAGTCCCATGCACTTCTTTAACAAATTCATTAGAAAAAATTCTGTGTAATCCGGATACTGTCTATTCTGTATTCCGAACGGCCATACTGGTCCCAACTGCTCATAATTAACGGTAATTATTTCCTCTAATCCGGCCACACCTGAGTTACTTCAAAGCAATTAACACCTTTTGTGGTGGATTCGATAAACTGTGTTTACATTAGCAGTGCCATGAAACGAGCTGAGTGAAACGCGGCGGTGACACAGCCCAGTTGAAAAAAAATTACTAGTATATGATTGAATTACAATTAAAAAATAATAATTTTGTTTTAACTCGATCCTTTCACCACATTATAACAAAAAAATAAATATGTACGCGATTTACAAATAAATATATAAATCGGGATCGAAAATCGGACGCATTTCAAAATGGCGCCACAATACTGTAGGGGAAGACATAATTTTTTACATAAAAATTAAAAGTTCAATTTAATAATTAGCACATCGTAAATAATTGTGCATTACTCTTTTTACATTGAATGAGCTCTTTGACAAGCGAAACGTGATTCGCTTGATATATAGTAGGCCTATATTGCGCGTGCCTGTAAATTTTGATGTAGGTTACATTTCACCCGACTTTCAAACTTCGTGAAAAACAAGAAAATACAGTAAGTCATAAGAGACTATTTTATAATTTCTAGACTCCAAAATATTGATTGATTTCATCATTTAATTATATTTCATATCATGTATAATAATGAACTTGTAAAGTAACAACGAAATTTTCAAAGTAATGTTTTCCTGCATTTTTCCTGCACTCCGGATTCTGTCTAAACCGGCCAAATTTTATGGAACGGGCGGTAGCCGGTTTGGACAAATTATACTGTATCAGTAATCTTTGTATAAAGTATGAGCTTCATTACAAGAATGGGCATGACATAAAACACACATTTTTCTAAAGGCATACCTGCATTTTCTCACCTAAAAGAATGCATGTCATAATTTTCTCCATTGACTGAATGATATAAAACACACCTGAAGTTTTTCCTCTGGAATGTCCTCCACTTTATAGTCAGTGCCGTACCATTTCTCCTTCTGGTCAACTACGTCAGCAAACTTCTTAGCAACCACTCCAATCCTACGAAAAAAATATAATGTCAAAACTGCCTTTAAATTCCAATGAAATGGTATTAAAGCATTGTTATATACCATGAAATTAAAATTGTCTTCAGTGAAGTCTTTACAGAAAACTGACCTCATGGTCTCTGGAACCAGTTTATCAAGCACCATGGTGATAAGGTCAGGTCTGTATTCTGTCAACAGATATGAGCCACTCAGAATCTCAGGGAGGGGATATTTCTAAAAAAAAAATTACAAAAAAGTTACTAAAACAAATGGAGAGCTAATGTTAAAGCCCTGCTGGAAAAAGATAAAGGTTGAAGACAAAGTAAGTAAATAATAACAGATATGAGCCACTCAGAATCTCAGGGAGGGGGCATTTCTTGAAAAAAAAACAAGGTAATTACTCAAACAAGGAGAGCTACTGTTAAGGCCCTAGTCCCCTGCTGGAAGGGGTGGGGGTTGAGGACAAAGTAAGTAAATACTTTGTTTTCATCTGACCTCATTTTTAATTCTTACCTGTGTTCTCCTTGCTAAGAAGGATGTGTAATTGATTGGCATTTCCTTGTCCTTGAACTTGAAGATCATGTCTGAGAGCTGCTGACATTCTTTGTACACCCATTCCTGGGGACCTTCTTTCCTCAGCATTTCTATGTACTGGAACATCTTCAGCAAAATGTCATCTACATGCTCTACAAAGAAAATTCACCTTTATCACAACTAAGAAACTTCTTTAAAATCCCGAGTACAGTACAACATTAGTACAAATATCTCAAATATTGATTCTAAAATACCAGGGTCAAATGAAAAAGCAATTTTAATACAGACCAAGTCCTTCTTCAGACAAATCAAAGTCGATCCTGAAGAACATAAAACCATTGGCTCCATCTGTCTGACCTCCACAGAGGGAGTTCACCCAACCTATAAATAGTAACTGTATGTTAATTACATCACAGAGGGGATTCACCTAACCTATAAATAGTAACTGTATGTTAACTAAATCAAAGAGGGAGTTCACCCATCATATAAATAGTATTTATGTTATAGGAAAAAGTTTTTAGTGTACCATACCTGCATGTGATGTAATTGTAATTTGATTTTTTGTGGAAGCTTTATTTTATGTATTATTTTATTGCAGTGCAGCAATCTGACCTTTTTGTTTGAGTTCTGACAACAGACTTCCTTGTCCTTCATGTCCAATCAAATGACCCAGTATATGTCCCGGCTAAAATAAATTCAATATCAAAATCAGTCTCATTATAAAAGGTTGTTTTTATTGGTCTTACTTCAAACAGTTAAATATTATAAGAGCTTGTTTGAAACAAAAAAGATTTTTTTCCCCAAAAGTTAATTTGCCTAACTCTTACATTTGAGGCGTAGTAATCTGAGAGGTCAGGAATGGTCCATGAGACAGAAAGGTTCCTTAAATCCTTCACAGGCACCGCATAACAGATTTTCTACAAAATGACAAGACCTTTTATTATACCTCATATTCCTTTTAATTTTCAAAGTATTTTCCCTTAAAATTTTTTAGAAATCTATTTAAACAGATTTACACTGTATATGTATTGATGAGGCAACGGTGTATCCATGCTAATCACACGTTTTAAGACTCTCTTACAGGAAAACTTTGACAATGTGTATGTTTACTGACTTTGACGTGCTCTGGACCATAGGGACCCTCTGCCCAGGAAGGAATGTCCACAGATTTATTGGCCACAGGTTCAAACAGTGGCAATATCATCTCCGATAACTCATCCAAAGATTCTGGAAGAAAACAATGCCATACTATATATATAATACTTCATCCTTGGAAACACTTTATTTTCCTTGTCTACAAAGTCTGGTAACTTTTTTCAGCAAAAAAATGCATATTTATCAAAAACTTACACCAATTCCAATACTCTTTAGAAATGATGGGAGTGTAAGCATAAACATTAACAAGATGCGCTTGTGAAACACTATGCACCTGGCAGCAACAAAGTTCCAAAAAGCTATTTTAAGCATATACGTCACAGTCAAGGTCAAAAGGTCATGACCTTGGTGAAATTTGAAAGAACTTAATTAGTGGAGTATGCATATTAAATATGAAGTCTCTAACTCTCACATTTTAAAAGTAAAGGCGAAAGTTCAAAAAAGCTATTTTTAGCATATATGTCAAGGTCAAGATCACAAGGTCATTGAACTTGGTGTCGTTTAAAAGAGCTTAATTAGTGGAGTGTGCATACAAAATATGAAGTCTCTATCTCTCACCATTCAAAAGTTATAGTGAAGGTTAAAGTTGACAACAGACAGACAGATAAACAGACAGACAGGACAAAAACAATATACGCATCGATCTATTGATCCGGATGCATAAAAATTTGCATTAACCTAAACAGCTCAAGACATTATGAATTAAATAATCATTGCAATCTGAATATACTCAAATAAAATCAAGCACTGAGAAAAAAAGTAAAAGAAAATTTGGTATACATTCAATAAAGCCAGGAATTCTCTTTGTTTTAAGTTTCATTATTTCACTCTGTTATACAGAAGACTTTCATACCTTTTCCTAGCACTGCCAGAGACATGATGTTGGAGGAATAATACTGGGAATGAAACTTCAGAAGCTCATCTCTCGTGTTCAGTCCCTTGGATTTAGGAATGGTATCCAAAGTCTCCTTGTTACCTGAGGATTATAAACAGAATCTCTTTAACTTGAATTCAACAGGACAAAAGTACTTCCAAGATCTCAAGATATTTCAGATACCAAGTTCAATATACAAAAAGAAAAAAAAGTTGGGGCTTCTGACTCCTAGCATTCAAGATATCAGTGTTTGAGATAACAAAACTCAGCTGTGTATCAAAAACACAACTTCCATTTACCTGTTCCATACTTGGTGTAATCATGATCGGGATTACCCAGGGACCTGTCCAACATGTTGAACCTCCAGGGATCTTGCTGTAAATTCTTGTCGTTCTCTGAGTTGACAGCATTTACCTCTCTATCAGTGGCAGAGGGTGTAAACAATGGGCACAAGAAAAACTGGGCAAATCTGTAAACATGAATCAACGCCATGGTTTAAATATTCCAGAGCCTTCAGCTCATCAAAAAGATACATTTTTTCCCTCACAAATAACACAGCATTAGGTGTATTTACTAATCTTACAAATTAAGTCAGGAATCTAAAATTTTAAAGATTTGTATTTATTTGTAATTACCTGTCTAGAGCCCCTGATAAGTTTTCTGGTCTGACGTCAAAGAAATAATTTGTATTCTCTGATGAAGTATAGGCATTTGACATCCCTCCATGCTCACTCAAAAACTAAAAGAAAATTCAGAACCTGATGTAATGTATTAATTTATTAGCATGATTTTTTTAATAAGCTTGGATCTGTTTTTTCTGATAAGTCATATCATAAATAGAAAACTTACTTTGTTATATGCATTCTCTTCTTCATACTGAAAAATAACATAACATGTTATTGTAAGAAATTAACATCTGTGAGTAAACCACAACTTTTCTCAGATTATCAAGCTTTAATAGAATCACCATAACAACATTGGCAGGAAGCAGATCTTAAATATCATTACCCTATAAAAGTTGAGTTGAATTTATTTCTTCAGTGGATTGCTTACATTTTCAAAAGCTAAATTTCTTTTTAGAAATCTGACCTGCCCTTCTTACATACCTTTTTTGTTCCCAGAAACAGCATATGTTCACAGAAGTGAGCCAGACCTGGTAGATCTTTAGGGTCCTTCATGAAACCTAGAATGGATACACAATCACTACATATTATGTCATTTTAATCATATCGAAGTTCTTGTAAATCTACATGTATATACTAGTATATAGTACTTTTGTGCAGTAAATGCTTACTGGGGTCCTTAATTTTTCATAAAACATCTTGCATGCATGTACAAAACAATCTTAATTGTGAATATTTTGAACTTTGCAAAGTGAGATATCTGTAGAGATATCCGATACCCTAGATATAAAAGCTGATTATTGAATTCACAACTGTATTAAGCTGACATGACCTTCAGAGGTTGAAATTCCAAAGGTTACAGTAACAAAGGTCAAAAGATAAATACTGACCTACATGGACGTCTAGGGCTGCTGAAGATTTATCCGTTTCTGGGTCACTGACGAGAATGACTTTCATCCCATTTTTCAATGTCATTGCCCGGTAGAGTCGCTTGTCACCAGCAGACCGAATTATGTCTGAATGTTCGACGATTTGCGCAGCACGTTGAGTGGCCATGGCAGAAAGTGATCTATTTATAAATCAAATGCAATACATCAAATCTAAAATCTGCATATTTCCCTACTTATTGTAATGAAAAGAAGTAAATTAGATTTTGGAACTAACTTTAGGTTTCAGCGGACTTGACAGTGAGTTTGTCTCTGGTTAGTTAGGTTAGTAAAGATCTGGAAGTGAAATTTTTACTATAATGTTAATATAATATGTTAAGATTTTGAAAATAAATCAAATACCCCAATACTCTAGTTATATATGAATCAAAATGGATACTGTAAAATTAATAGTTGAACATGTTGAAACATAAATTAGACTAGCAATTGTTCAAAATCTGCTCATTATTCCACGTCAATCTATTATTGTTTAATGCAAAGTTTTAACATTTTTTTTACTAATCAACTAAATCAGGATAGTAAAAAGCAGCAATTTGATTGGCAATAGCACATAGGCATCGGGGGGGGGGGGGGGGGGGGGGGGGGGGCTTAGCCTCCGCCCCTACTTTTTTATTGCAAATATTAACATAATATAGGCACTGAAAATTGGGGGGTTTCTTTGTTGGTTTAGCCCCCCCCTTTCAATTAGCCACCCCACTTTCAATTTGCTTTTGACGCCTATGCAGCATATATAAAGTAAAAATTGTTCAGTCTCTTTATAGAGAAGTTAAATTGCAATATTGGAGTAAACTGTAGTAAACCTTAAACATTTGGAAAGAATTGAAAAAAGACTACTATAATAGAAAACAAAACAACATTGTTCATTGAAATCAAAAACCGATATAAAATTAAGATTTAATGTATCTTAGTAGAACTTAGTGTTTGAAGGAATTGCATCACATTTTATATCTAAATGTTTTAGAGTAGTCAGTACCCTGGTTTTATTGGGTAGACAGACTACTCGGCCCAACGACACCTCGGCCCGTGCTAGTTGACATCTCGGCCCTGACAGGTCGGCTCAAAATCATTGATATCTCGGCCCATACCGAAGACTGCTCGGCCCATTAGGAATAACATTAAATTTAGTTTGATTAAATAGTTTAATTTTTATACTTCGTATTTTCTATGTCATGGTTATGTAAATGTATACTATGTATATTTAATCACTATACGTTTACTTATAAATGTACAATAATTTCAGTATTTCAGTATTTTCTAACAAGCCACGGCACAGCATCAAATTACAATCCGTTGATTTGGAGATAACAGGTCTATTTATTTATTTACTTTGTTGTTTATTACAATGTAACATTATACATTATTAATATATTTATTAGCCATTTTAAAAAAATGTTTGGTTGCCCTCTCCCGACTGACTGATGAATTGACTTATAATTATGTGTAAACCAATAGGTCTACACAGAAGTTTATGTCCTGGTCCAAAAGATAATTGTTTATTTTTTATATATATATTTTACTGTTTACTTTTAAAAAATCATATTTTTTTTTCAAATCAATTCAATAAAATATCCACAATGGTTTCTTAAAGGAACTTTTTATTAAGATGAATGATTAAGTCTCCCAATTATGGCTTCTCGTAATTAACTCCTCATAGCACATGCATAGTCACCACCCCCTATACACGCGCTCTAAAGGATGCACTGCGTCTTCTTGTTTGTTTAATGATTAGCACTTAATGGATTGTCTCTCTTTAATTACCGTCAATTTGCCGTCTTGGAAGATTGCAAATGTATCAAATTAATTTTCTTTTGCATTTCATAGATATATAACAGCATAAATTATAAATATATTGAATAAAAATAATATAATTCTGTTTGGACCGAGGTGTCTTTTATGTGAGCCGAGGTGTCTGCAAATTTGGGCCGAGCCGTCGTAGCCGAGGTGTCAATGGGCCGAGGTATCGTTGGGCCGAGCAGTCTGACATTCTTTTATTGTGTCTGTATAATATAATTTGTACTGAAGAATTAGTTGATAAAATCTGAAACATACACTGTCACTTTTTTTTACTTTGGCTCAATGGACAGGTCAAGTCCAAAGACTATTTCTACCTACGTAGCTATTAATAGCTACCTAGGTATTTAAAGCTACCCAAAGTAGCTATTTTTTTCCTACTTTTTATATTTTCTGCATTTTGCGGCCAAAAGACCAAACGGCGCAACATGTTGAATATCATATTTATTGATACAGTCACACTAATGATGGATACGATAGAATTTTGGCCAAAAAATGATTACTTCCTGAATCAGCAATTTCCATTAGTTTCTATGCAAAATTGATAATATACGAAGCGGTACCTCGAATTACCGAAATGCCCCTGATTTACTGAAATGCCCATGGAAATTACCGAAATGCCCCCTAAAACTACCGAAATGCCCTTTAAAACCTTAAATACTTTGATTAATATGAAAGGTAGTGAGTTTATTATATATACTTTAAACTCAGAAATTAAAAAAAAAATTACAGATGTGTTTTTTGTTCAAAAAGGTGTGTTTATCTAAGAGAGATAACTCTGGTATTTGTAGTTGATCTATCTCAATGCAATATTCGAAAAAGAACTACATTATTGTTTCAAATTTTATATTACTGTCGAAGATTTGTTTTTTTTTTTAATACGTGAATATAATTTTTGTAATGCTTACTCATCGATCATTTATATCACTTATTTAAAATTCGTTGCTAAATCTCGAGAAAAAAAGATCGTTCGTTGCCGGTTAGTTAATACCTAGCTAATGCTACGCAACTTAATATTTAATCAAAATATTTTTTGATATATTTGTTAACAGTTAAATTATTTTATCAAAATGAACACACATGCACAATATCGACATATTAATCCGATTTGAGGAAAACTGTACACTTATATATATTTATAAATTTTTGAAACAAATGAAAAGCAATTTAATTAATTTTGTTTTCATATTAGCAGACCTATTTTCTGAATGATGTCAATTTACATGCCAAATAATTTAAATTTACTAATGTAAACTTTTATGTTTAATATGCTATATAAGCATTTCATAGTTCTGTTTATTTAGTGTATAAATTTTACAACTCTGAACCCCAGGGGTTTAGTCTCCCCTGCTGCATACACCACTGTTAACTTTGATTGTGTACTGTTATCCATTCAAAGACATGGTTTAAACTAGATCTAAAACAAGTTCCTATCTTTCGTTATATAAATCAGATTTCCCGCGATGATCGAAAACGAAAGTAGAGATTGCCACATGGCTTGGTCAATCGAGTGATTTCTATTGACTTTATTGATAACATTGTGAACTCCTGTGCTTTTATAGACGATGTCAAACGGTTTCATCTAATTTTAATAGCTGTATCTCCTTTTTCATGGCAATGATGTTGACTAAATTTATCGTGACCAATGTAATCACTGGTAATCTTGAGTGCTGTTGTCGTTGTCAAATTCGTGCTTGAAATCTATGTACACATATAGGTACTAAAAAAAGCGTTTGTATGCTTCCGAGTCAAATCACGCGACATCTAACGAGATTTTATGAGAGTGGCTTCAAAAATGGATACCCAAGCGAACCAAAAATACTTAAGACGCAACTTTTGTAGAAAAGCGGTAGATTTCTGAATTAAATCGGTAGGCGGGAGATGGAGTGAAAAAGCGGTAGACTCCCGCCTAAATCGGTAGAGTTAACATGTATGTAAAATGCCTATTAGAATATAATTCAAGGGGCATTTCGGTAGTTTTAGGGGGCATTTCGGTAATTTCCAGGGGCATTTCGGTAATTCGGGTTACCCTATACGAGGTAATCATTTTTTGGCCAAATTTTTGTCATATCCATCATCAGCTAGTGTGACTGTATCAAGAAATTTTGTGCTCACCATGTTGCGCCGTTCCTGCATTTGGCCACAAAATGCAAGTAAAGCAGAAAGTAGGTAAAAATAGCTACTTTGGGTAGCTTTAAATACCTAGGTAGCTATTAATAGCTACGTAGGTAGAAATAGTCTTTGGACTGGACCTGATGGAAGCAATATTTAATTTTTTTTTTTTGCTTGAAATATGAAGTGAATTAAGAATAGTTTGATGAATATATAGCCTGTCACATGTTTTAGCAAATACAACAGAGTTGCTAGTCTCTGTTAGTTATGTCTCTGGCTGTTAAATTTAAACAATGATAAATGCATTAATCATTATTGATTTTTTCAAAATTATGTACACGCTGTAAATTTTCTGTCTAAATTTACAGCAACGCAATATGTCAAACACCATATTTCTGAAAATACAGCGTTATGGAAATTTCAGGATTTTTTGGTAAATATTTTTTTGAAAAGCAATGGGTGCGAATGAGGCGCATTCGAATTTCCTCTGATCCCATGTCATCGCTTACAGCATGAACAACATTAATTTATTACTCCAATGACAGTACGGAAAGGAACAATAACTGGTATAATATCACTTTAAATACTAAAACTTACTAGTTATGGGATAATTTTGCTGTAAAACGGGTTCTTATGCAATCTCTATAAAGTGTTATATCACAGCAGCTGAGCTCACCTATAAGTTGCTTGCGAATGCGATGGTGAAAACAGGGGAGAAAACGTGAGTTTTCTTGCAGATGGTGAAATAAATCTAAGAAAGGAAGAAGCTCTAGAAAACATTGACGTATCCTTTTTCGACCGCTAGCATCTGGTGGAGACTCTTTTCCAAAGGGCACTCTTCTTTGTCAAGAAACAAAAAATGTGATGATGAACTTTTTCTGCTTATCGAGCCCGACTTGAATTTTACGAGACATGGACCCGATTTCAACAAATATAAAAAAAAATATTCACCTGACAATTGTTATTGAGAGACGAAGAATTCTGTTGATCGTGGTTTAAAGATCAAAATAAACTTTGTAGCTAATATTAAAAAAGGACATAATTTAAAAAGTGATTTAAAAGTAAAAAACAGTAAATTCGGTAGTAAAGGAGCTATTTGCTCTTTGTCATGACAGTAAATTAGGGGAAAATCTATTGACAATTCAGTGTGTAAATAATAGCCTAATAATTTGTAAGAAAATTTTTTTCAATCAGCATTTAATTCAATAATAGATTGTATTTGCTTAAAAGGCCATTGTGTCGACCATAGAACTTATGAAATTACAACTTTTAACGAGACTGCTGATATTCTTGCTTCATCAACTTGTTTGTCAATCATCATAATGTACCTCGTTTTACAAATTGTTCATAGGTAGAGCATGCTCTTGCGTATCGAATTAACTCAGATACATAAACTCCGTACGCAGGTGACACAGGCGTCGGAAGCAATTTGAAGGGGGGGACTAATTGAAAGGGGGGGGGGCTAAAACAACAAAAAAGGTAATCCACAATTTTCAATACCTATATAATGTAAGCCCCCGGTCCCGACGCCTATGGGTGAGTAAGTAAGTAAGTATTTCCAATTTTGGGCTCAGAATTAGGCCATATAAAAGCATAAGTAACAAAATAAAGAGTGCAATTTCTAAACGATAGTCAAACAATTAATGAACATTAATGATGATAAGAATACACATACATGTATTTCTCATGATAAATCAACTTCTCTTCTTTTAAAACAGTTATGAATGTAATCTGGTAAAAAAAAAAATATGTGATAACATTATCATTTTCATTACTCGTAAGCCATGTAAACTTGTTTCTTTTAGATAAACTTGATAAATTCTTACAGGTCGTATTTATAGTCTTTAAAAATGTTTTTTCGAAAGTCCTGATATGCTGAACAATCAAATAAAAAATGTATATCATCTTATACACAATCAGACTTGCAGATAGTATGTATATTGCTGCATAAGTAAGAGGGGGGTTGACGATTGAAAAGAAAAAGTCATCAAGTTTATCATAAAGCTTTGTTGTTAGATTACCATAAACGTCCTTTTCTAGTAAAATATTCAAATAACCTAATAGTACCGACATAAGAATCGAAATAAGCATTGTTAATTGACAATACGCCATCGATATATGTAAAATTCGAGTTAACTGAAGGTAACAACAAGTGTTTTCTTTTTCATACATAGATCCTACAATATTTTTAACATATTCTGCTTCAAATGAATACAAGAATATAGGTCTTTAAATATTAATGGGCGCATTGGTACTTACGTAAATTCCAGCAGATCGTTGAAGGACCTGATCTCGAAAAACCACATAGATATTGTCAATCAGAAACTCAAGCATCTATTTAATATCAACTTCAGAGTACATTTAACATTAACGGGTTGTGAGCATATTTCAAGCTCACTAGTCCATTCAAACTATACAATCCAGGAGCAAAGCAAACACGGACCTTAGAGGTTGGACCAGGTGCCATGGAGGTAAGAGCATCCTTTGATGACCGGTTACACTCAATGAATGCTCCTTGTCATGGTCGGAAAAAAAAGACTAAGAATCCGTAGACATTTCAGAGTATAAAAAGGCATAACAGTCAGCATTTGACTTAAATATTTTGTATCTGCTGATCGAAAAGAAATATTTTATCGACCATAGAACTTCCGAAATGATGACTGTAATTTAAACGAGACGTATTATTGATATTCTTCTTTCAACTTGTTTGTCTTGCTTCGTTTTAGAATTTGTTCGTTTTTAGGTTACTACTAGTAAAACATCCAGATATGGAAAAGGTGTTTCGGACTCTATCTTTTATTTTAAGCTTACGATTGGATGAATCAATTTAAGTCTAAACGAGTCTTATGTATGAAAGTAATAATTGCTAATTGACAAAACACCATGAGTGTTTTTCTAAACAAAATAGTTTTTAAACAAAAATGACTAACGGGTAAGGTTCCATTTCCAATAATAAAACAAAAAAACAGATGTAAATGATGACAAAAAAGCTTGAACTTGAATTAAAAATGGCGAAGTGTTGAAAAGTCGTACGTTTTTATGTCGTTCATTTTAAAATTGTGTGATAACAAGTTATCTAAAACTTCATAGGTATTTTTTTAAGTATCCATATCTGATTCACATCACTTCTTGAATACTAGTATATTGTTGTAGAATACACCTAAAGTTTCCTTTCACTGCTGTTAATATTTTAGTGGGGATCAAAGGGGTTTGATTACATTGAATGGAACATATAGAGATAATGAACAGAATTCAAGATCAAAAATCCATAAAACAATACAAAATAGGAGCAGAGCAAACACAGACCTCCAAAACATCAGAGGTGGATCGGGTGCCATGGAGGAGTGAGCATCCCCTGCCGACCGGTCACACCCGCCGCGTGTTCATTGTCATGATCGGGAAATAACGGAAAAATCTGTCGTCAATGCAGTGTATAAATAATGGCCTAACAATTCGTATGAAAAACATCAGTCAGCATTTGACTCAATGATAAATTATACTTGCTGACAAGGTCATGATATCGACAAAAGAACTTATGAAATGATGACTTTTAACGAGAATCCTGATATTCTTGCTTCACCAACTTGTTTGTCAATAATGTATTTCGTTTTAGAAATCGTTCATCCGTAGATAATGATCTTGCGTATCGAATCAACTGAGATATACAAACTCCGTATGCAGGTGATGAAGGTATATTGCTGCATAAGTAAGGACGTTGAAGAATAAAAAGTTAAAGTCATCACGTTTATCATAGAACTTGGTTGTTATTTTTTCAAGTAAAATATCCAGATATGAAACAGATGTGTCACACTCTATAGTATCTTTTATATCAAGCTCACCGGTATATATCGTGTCGACATAAGAATGGAAATTACCAATTGTTAATTGACAATACGTCTTCTATATATATCTAAATATCAAGTTGAAGGCCACAACATCTTTTTTTAAGCATAAGATTCTGGACAAATTGAACCCTCTTCAAACATAATAAAAATTTATACATTTTGTTTGCAAGGATTACTATGAAGTTTAGAAATCTAGTAAAGGTATGGTAACTAAAATTCATTTTGATTGTTGGGAATACATGTATTTAAAATAATGATGTATGATTTTGAAGATTTTTTTTTCTTTACAAAGATGGTTATGGGTATATGTTGGATTTCCATATGAAGAATTTAATTCCAGTTCTAATTTACAACCGAATAATGAGCCTTTCAAACAAAGACAAAGTTATAACCCCCTTTTTTAGCTGGGACCAGCTGATCGTGAAATCTGTCGTATTCTTTTTTGTACATCAGATCAGCATCCGAAGAAAGTCTGGTAGTGTGCATGGTGTGCAAGTGAGGTATATGGAGATAACGAACAGTTTTCAAGCTCAAACATATATTAATGCAATTTATGGAAAAAGCAAACATGGAGCCATAAAACATAAGAGATGGGATCAGGTACCATAGAGTAGAGAGCATCCCTTACCAACCGGTCACACCCGCCGTGTGTGTGTGTGTGTGTGTGTGAGGGTGTGTGTGTGTGTGTGAGTGTGTGTGTGTGTGAGGGTGTGTGTGTGTGTGTGTGTGTGTGTGTGTGTGTGTGCTCCTTGTCATGATCGGGAAATGACGGGGAAATCCTTCGACAATTTAGTACATACTCACAGTAGATATTAATGGTATGACAATTAGTATGGAAATGTCCATAGGATGTGACTAGCTTGTATTTGCTGACAGGATGGATATGAAACATGGTTCCAGGGTCATAAACTTTACAAGAGCTTACTTTTGATCTCAATCTCAATTTTCCACAATAAACTTCTTTTGTAAAAGATTAGACTGAGGTCAAAAGAGATTTCGTCTGAGTTTTTGTTTTTTGACCCCAAAGCCTGCTCCTAAAGCTTTGACCTGCTTTTTTCTCTGGAAAACACTGGCTAAAAATTTTCGAGTTTTGCATCTCTCTTATAAAGCTTCTTGGCTCTTTTCTGATCACCGCGACACTTTTGATAAGATAATCTAAGCAAAGAAAATTAAACCCACATACATGGAAAATGTGTTTTGCAAAGTGTAATTAGAAAAGAACCGAGCAGTCGTACAAGTTAGAAGCAAAATCCGGAAAAAACTACGAAAAATAAGATCGATCAACTGTATCGTCTCCTTTTTATTTGTTTCTATTCAAAGCGCATAAAAGTATAATCAAAGTTTAGTTTGTTAGGATTATGTATTGTATTAGTAACACAAACAAACGGACAAAGTTCCTTTTACTCCCATCGTCGAGGGTATCTGAAGAGAAAAATACGAAGAATGATGTGTATATTAAGAATCTAAATTTCTCTTCTTATTATAGTAGGTATTATATAGTATTATAAGTAGGGGGTGCCCTGTATACGAAACAAGTGCCTGTGTGCAAAGAACACAAAAGGATATGATGTTAAGAAAGGGATGCATCCGTTACTAGTATCCTGTATTTTGTTATCCTTTCACTTTTCTAAGCTGTGAACAAGAGCTTGTCATAAAAGAATGGACACCCAGAAACCATATTCCATCGATCTTTAAAAGAAGCATTTATATAAATATAGTCAAACCTTTCGCATATAAAAGCCCGTTTCTGGTTGCAGTCAGCGGACTTCCACTTTGAGCCAGGGGTGAGCTGGACACAGTTCTTCCTTCTATTGTTGCCTATCCCCTTCTTAAGAGATCTAGGCACACCTCGATTGGTGCCAATGAACCGGAGGACATTTTCTTGAATTATATCATTGGCTGCTATCCATATATTGCCGGCTTAAAAATAAGTATTTTATAAAGCCTTTTTCTAAAAAGTGCCAGTTTTACTCACTAATTATAGTTTTAAAAACCACCAACCTAATTAAAGAATTTACAGAAAATATGCTTTTGGGGTTGAGAATAACGATATTTTTTTTTATACCTGAATGAATTTTATTAATAACTAATGAAATGCAAAGTCCTTTCTGACAAACATAAACCTATTCTATATAAAATCCACTTCATTGAAATGTAAATCTGTAGACATACCTAGTTTTCGCTTTTTTGCTAATGCCACCACATCTCTGTTCTTTTTTCCATTTCGAATTTCAACAAGACGTGCTCCCTCCACGAAGCAAAAGATCTAAGGGTTGTTGTTTTTTTTAATACAGTATTTTTTTTAATATTAGTCTGTTGACATATATTGAAAAAAAAAATCAATGAATTTAGACCCACATGGATGAAATTAACGATCATTGATTAATCTTATCCACCTTGAAAAAAGTAATATCTAAACTAACTTTCTTTTTTAGACCAAGAACATAGTGAGGTAACATACCGCTGCTTCTGGCCAAGTGAACTTCTGATGAAACACTGCATAGCATCCAGTCCGTGTCTTCACATAACCGCGTCCTCGAGGGCATCGCTCTAGGACAGAGATGTACTTATTATTCAACAAGGGATGCTTAATCCTTCTAGGCACCTGATCCCACCGCTGGAAATTCAGCGGGTTCGTGTTTACGCCCTGTTCACAGATTTGTTTTCTTTGTGGTTTTTTATATGCGATCAACCACTGTTCGTTACCTTCACCTTTTTCATTCATATCCAGGTAAATTTGAAAGCAGTAATTTCTATTTCTTATACCTTGCGTATGAGGTTAAATAGTAAAATTTATATTTGAACATACATGCATCTTATGTTCCAACACGCGGACATATAAAAATATATAATCTTTACACGCATATTTCTCCATTCAAAGACAGTCGATTTAGTTTAATCTATATAATATATAGTTATAATTTTGAAGGTCTTCTTAAGGTTCTTAAAGCTACCTCTTCTTCTTCCTCTCCTCCCTTTTTTTCTTTCGTAACGACTGTAAAGTCGTAAATTTGAGGCCTTTTTACATATCTGTCGTTGCTTTCTGCCCGCCAGTTTCCTAAACTTTCTAAATAAGTTTCTTATCCTATTCGCCTTAGGTAGTCTAAAGCAGGTACATTTCTTGGTTTTATTCTGAAAAAAAAATGTCCCAACATTCTGAAGTTACATGTTCAAGAAGTATTGTCAAGGTTAGAGATTGACAAAAGACTCCCATTCAATTAGTAGTAGACAGCTTTTAAAAATGAAAGATATGTTTCATACTTTATACCAATTTTCGCCTTAAATAACCCTTGTATGAAATCATTATTATGTTTATTGAATAAGCGTATGTTCCCTGACCGTACCCATCCCCAAATAAGATATATATGTATGTTGAATAGGTCGGCTTATGTAAAATTTGCTGAACATATCCTATCAACAAATATCTTTCCGTAGAGGAGAGATTCATATGAACATAAGTTGGTCATAAGTTAGATATGGTCTTCATTTATATTGTAAAAAACTAAACACATAATTGCATTCTTTACACATGTATTACTCTAACATCTTTCATTTTGTCTCGTGTTTTAACAACGTAATAATAACCTAAAAAGACACATGGCTATCAAATTCAACTTAAGATTGCACAAAGTCATACATGCAATACATAAACTAGAGACCATATTTTTCTCCTATGAACAATTACATTGTTGGATTAATGGAAAGTCATATGTAAAAAAAAAATTACCTGTATTGCATAATAGCTGAATTTTTTCATTTTCTTCAAGCATTTGCGGTAGCACTGTTTTCGGTTGCTTACTCTGCCAACTTTGACTCTGCGCTTAAAGGCACCAAAAACTGCTTTCGCTTGAAAGCAACCTGAAAGAAAAGGTATAAGCTGTTAATTAAATGAAAAAGTAGTGAATATTTAAAATAATTTTTAAGTGTTTGAAGACGTATACCGGGTATTTAAATAAGCATGGTTTATTTATGTCACTATCTTTTTGGAACCAGTGGCCGTGGTTTGCGAGGATGATGTTAAAGCAGATATATCATATGTATTTTATAAACGAAATACATGTAATATATAAGTAAAACATAGGTAATCAGAGATTACAGAGCTCACCTCAACGAATGTTGTCTTTAAGTAAGGCAAAGTACACAATTACCCAACAAAAAGTGTACATCCAAAAATGCAAAATTTATGCAATTTTGATCAGATACTTTGGAATAGACCTATATAAAAACTTCAAACTAGTTCTTCATCACGAAAATGTGATCAAAATCCAGCATCTGAAGCAAGTTTAAGAGTTTTCATCCCTTGATGCATCATTTGAGCAAGTTTGGTTTATCTAAGCCTCATAGTTTCTTAGTGATAGACCTGCACCCATAACTTTTACCTGGTCCATTATCTGGAAAATGTATGTCGAATTCATGCAGCATCCGTAGCAAGTCCATTAGTATGCACCCTAAGATGTATCATCCATGCGAGTTTGCACAACATAGGGCTAATAGTTACTTAGAAATGAAACCTGCATAAAATTTTCACCTCTTCATTCATCCAGAAAAAAATGTAGGTCAGATTCGGCATCTGAAGCCAGCCTGGTAGAATGCAACCTTAGATGTATCATCCATGCAAGTTTGGTCATTAAAGAGTTCATAGTTACTTGGAAATGAATCCTGCATCAAAAACTTTAACCTGTTCACTCATCCAGAAAATGTAGGTCAGATTCAGCATCCGAAGAAGCCTGGTAGTATGCATCCTAAGATGTACCATCCATGCAAGTTTGATCAACATAGGGCTTATAGTTCCTTGGAAATGAGACCTACACCAAAAACTGCACCAAAAATGTTAACCAGCTCCAAAAACATTCCTTTGCTGAAATTGCAGCATCTGAAACTTTGACTTGTACAATGTAACACATTAGATGCATCTTCCATGCCTGTCTAATCAATATAGGACACAGAAGTACTTAAAAAGAAAACTGCTCTAAAAAACTTAACCTTAACCTGGGACGCCGACGCCGACGCCGAGGGTATTACATAAGCTCCCCCAACTTCGTTGAGGTGAGCTAAAAACGAAACCACGTATTTTTTTACTGATGTAAACGGACTCGGTGTCTTGTTGCTAGCGTTACTTTGGATTTTATAACTTAATCCCTGGTTTAATTTTTTTCCATATAATTCAGTGTGTTTATCAATTTGAGTTTTCCGATCAACAATCAGTAATAAACTTTTTGTTTTTGTATCACATACTAAATAATTTCAAGCAATTCAGCAAATTTGTCAAATACCTCAAATCTTTTTAGTTGATAATTTGTTAGTATGTCCCCATAAATTACAGGTATCAAACTTGTGAGTTGTTTGCGTATACAGTGGACCTTCAGATGTCCGGACGCTTTTACATGTAAATATACATGTACATGCATAATCTTTATACACATATATCTCCGATCTAAGACGGTAGATTTGGTTTTATCTACTGTGAAATTAAGCTGAACCCTGCCATAATATTGTCTGAACTAAATAAAAAATATGAGTAGCTCATAAGGTGATATGTTTGTCTATTAACAAGAAATACTGAATTTTAAATTCAACAAAAAAAACAAAAACAAAAAAACGTCAAGTATGTCTGTTCACAACTATTTGGCATAGTCACATACAGGGATACGTTTGTCCCCTTTTTGTCAGAATTTTGAAAATAAGGGTCTTAAAGTTACCTCTCCTTCTTCTTTTCCTTCCTCTGGACTTTATCTTCCTTCTAGCTCCTTTCCTCCTCTTTTCTCTTCCGGAGCGACTGTAAAGTCGTAAATTTGAGGCCTTTTTACATATCTGTCGTTGCTTTCTGCCCGCCAATTTCCCAAACTTTCTAAATAAGTTTCTTAACTTATTCCCCTTAGGTAGTCTAAAGCAGGTACATTTCTTGGTTTTATTCTGAAAAAGAAATATCCCAACATTCTCAACTTAAAAGTTGGAGAAGATTTAGATTGACGAAAGACAATGAAAGATATGTTTATTACTTCATAGTTACAAATTTTAGCATTTAACTACCTTTGTATACAATCATAATAATGTTTGTTGAAAACGTATTTCTTCCCCAACCCACCCACAGCAATAAAGATATAGTTAGTTGTAAAGCTTCTGAAGATAGAATGAAAGGCCTAAAGCTTTACTGGAGTTTTTCGTGTTTTTCTTCTTTATTTTAAGTTATGTGTACATGTAATATTTGTACACAAAACTTATCAACAAATATTGTTTGGTAGAAATTCATATGAACGTATGTTGGTCATAAGTAAAATATAGTGTTCATCTTATATCGTAAACATACTATGTTGCATTCTTTACCCAATGTATTACTCTAACATCATTTATTTTCTCTCCTGTTTTAACAATGTAATAATACCTTAAAAACATATGGCTATCAACTTCATCCTAAGATTGTACAAAGTCATAATGCATAAACTAGAGACGATATTTTTCTCCCATGAACGATTGCTTTGTTAGGATAAAATTATATATTAAAAAATTACCTGTAATGCATAATAGCTGAATTTTTTCATTCTCTTCAAGCATTTGCGGTAGCACTGTTTTCGGTTGCTTGCTCTGCCAACTTTGACTTTACGCTTAAAGGCACCAAAAACTGCTTTCGCTTGAAAGCAACCTGAAAGAAAAGGTATAAGCTGTTAATAAAATGAACAAGAGGCCCAGGGGCCACAGCGCTCACCTGAGCACATCGGGCTTGAATTTACCCCCCCCCCCCGGCATTCATCATTTGAACAAAATAGAATCTACACTACCTGAGGATGATTCCGTATAAATATCACTAATCATAGCTTTGAAGTACTTGAAAAGAAGATTTTAAAAGGTTTCCCTATATATCCCTTTGTAAAATTTGGGTCAGCCATTTGGCCCCACCCTAGCCCCGGGGGTCATGATTTGAACAAACTTGAATCTACATTACCTGAGGATGATTCCACATGAGTTTCATCTTTCCTGGCCAAGTGGTTCATGAGAAGAAGATTTTTGAAGATTTTTCCTATACACATGTATATTCCTATGTAAAACTTGGGTCGGCTATTTTGGCCCCACCCTAGCCCCGGGGGTCATGATTTGAACAAACTTGAATCTACACTACCTGAGGATGATTCCACATGAGTTTCAGCTTTCCTGGCCCAGTGGTTCATGAGAAGAAGATTTTTAAAGATTTTTCCTATATATTACTATGTAAAACTTGGGTCGGCCATTTTGGCCCCACCCTAGCCCCGGGGGTCATGATTTGAACAAACTTGAATCTACACTACCTGAGGATGATTCCACATGAGTTTCAGCTTTCCTGGCCAAGTGGTTCTGGAGAAGAAGATTTTTAAAGATTTTCCCTATATATTCCTATGTAAAACTTGGGTCGGCCATTTTGGCCCCACCCTAGCCCCGGGGGTCATGATTTGAACAAACTTGAATCTACACTACCTGAGGATGATTCCACATGAGTTTCATCTTTCCTGGCCCAGTGGTTGTTGAGAAGAAGATTTTTAAAGATTTTTCGTATATATTCCTATGTAAAATTTGGGTCGGT